AGTCATTTTCTATTAAGGTATCTTTACTGTTACTCAATTATGACAATTGGGTACTTTTTCCACCACTGGTTTCCTTGGCCGAGCAGCCGCACACAAGCCTAAGATCACCATGCGCAATGCCAAGTGTCGGCTGGAGTGGTGTAAAGCTCACCACCATTGGACTATTGAGCAGTGGAAACGCGTTCCCTGGAGTGATGAATCACGCTTCACCATCTGGCAGTCCGACGAATGAATCTGGGTTTTGTGGATGCCAGGAGAAAGATACCTGCCCCAATGCATAGTGTCAACTGTAAAGTTTGGTGGATGAATAATGGTCTGAGGCTGTTTTTCATGGTTCGGGCTAGGCCCTGAGTTTCAGTGAAGGGCGATATTAACGCTACAGCATACAATTACATTCTAGACAAATCTGTGCTTCCAACTTTGTGGCAACAGTTTGGGGAAGGCCCTTTCCTGTTTCAGCATGACAATGCCCCCGTGCACAAAGCGAGGTCCATACAGAAATGGTTTGTTGGGATTGGTGTGGAAGAACTTGACTGGCCTGCACAGAGCACTGACCTCAACCCCATCGAACACCTTTGGGATGAATTGGAACGCCGACTGTGAGCCAGGCCTAATCGCCTAACATCAGTGCCCGACCTCACTAATGCTCTTGTGACTGAATGTAAGCAAGTCCCCGCAGCAATGTTCCAACATCTTGTGGAAAGCCTTCCCAGAAGCGTGGAGGCTATTATAGCAGCAAAGGCGGGACCAACTCCATATGAATGCTCATGATTTTGGAATGAGATGTTCGACAAGCAGGTGTTCTTTCTTTGGTCATGTAGTGTATCTTGTTAGAAACACCTTCTCCAGCAATTACAGCTATGAGTCTTTTTGGTTAAGTCTCTAAGAGCTTTGCACACCTGGATTGTGCAATATTTGCCCATTATTATTTTAGAAATGATTTACGCTCTTGGTTGTTGATCATTGATAGACAGCTATTTTCAATTCTTCTTTTAAATTTAAGTCAAAACTGTAACTAGGCCACTCAGGAACATTCAGTGTCGTCTTGGTAAGCAACTCTAGTGTAGATTTGTGTCACGGTTTCGGCCGAGGCTGCCTCTCTCCCTTGTTCGGGCAGGTTTCGGCGTTCGTCGTCTCCGGAATTCTAGCTGCCACCGCTGTTTGTTTCTTGTTCGTTTGCTTTGGTCTGTTTGTTTTCACACCTGTTTCTGTTTTGGCGTAATTAGTGTCCTATAAGTTTCTCGTTGTGTTTGTCTAGTGTTGTGTGTAATTGATTTTCCGTCAGTTGTGTGTATTGCTCGGTTGAGCTTCTCTCCATTATACTGGAGTATTTCCGCACCTGTTTGTGCGTGGTTACTATTTTGTCGCACCTGTTTGTGCGCGGTTACTATTTTGTCGCACCTGTTTGTGCGCAGTTTCTTTTCGCCTTCGTGCGTAATTGTTGCCTCCGGGCAAAGTTTCCATTTTGCCTTGGTTTGGCCTATAATACAAGCCTTTGGGAATATCGTTCTGAGTCCTGCGTTTGATTCCACCATTACACCTACCGCACGCCTGACAATTTGGTCTTGTGTTTTAGGGTTATTGTCTTGCTTAAAGGTGAATTTGTCTCCCTTTGTCTGTTGGAAAGTAGACCGAAGTAGGTTTTCCTTTAGGATTTTGCCTGTGCTTAGCTCCATTACGTTTATTTTTATCCTGAAGAACTCCCCAGTCCTTGCCGATGACAAGCATACCCCTAACATGATGAAGCCACCACCATTCTTGAAAATATGGAGAGTGGTACCCAGTGATGTGTTGTGTTGGATTAGTCTCAAACAGAACAATTTGTATTCAGGATAAAAATAATATTTTTGCAGTATTACTTTAGTGCATTGTTGCCAACACGATGCATGTTTTGGAATATCTTTTATTCTATATAGGTTTCCTTCATTTCACTCTGTCATTTATGTTAGTATTTTGAAGTAACTACAATGTTGTTGATCCATCCTCAGTTTTCTCCTATCACTGCCATTAAACTCTGTAACTTTTTTAAATCACCATTGGCCTCAAGGTGAAATCCCTGAGCGGTTTCATTCCTCTCTGGCAACTGTGTTAGGAAGGACGCCTGCATATTTGTATTGACTGTGTGTATTGATACATCATCCAAAGCCTAATTAATAACTTCACCATGCTCAAAGGGATATTCATGTGTCTGCTTTTTTTTGCCGATCTACCAAACGGTAGCCTTCTTTGTGAGGCATTGTAAAACCTCCCGGTCTTTGTGTGTTGAATCTGTGCTTGAAAGTCACTACTCGATTGAGGGACTTTACAGATAATTGTATGTGTGGGGTACAGAGATGGGGTAGTCATTCAAAAATCATGATAAACATCATTATTGCAAAAGAGTAAGTCCATGCAACTTATTATGTGATTTGATAAGCACATTTTTACTCCTGAACTTATTTAGGCTTGCCATAACAAAGGGGTTGAATACTCAAGACATCTCAGCTTTTCATTTTAAATGAATTTGTAAAAATGTCAACAATAAAAAAATACACTTTCACATTATGGGGTATTATGTGTAGATCAGTAACACCAAATCTCATTGTAATCCATTTTATATTCAGGCTGTCACAACAAAATGTGAAAAAAATCAAAGGGTGTGAATATGTTCGGAAGGCACTGTATGCCCTTGGTGACCACATTGATCATGTTTCCTCAGGATTGTATTATCTGCATGTTCCTGTTGTGTTTACATCGATCACACACAGGCTATTGCAGGGGTCTCAAACCCTGTTCCTGTAGAGCTACCCTCCTGTAGGTTTTTGCTCCAACCCAGTTGTACCTGGTTCAACTTATCAACCAGCTATTTATTAGAATCAGGAGTGCTAGATTAGGGTTGGAGTGAAAACCTACAGGACGGTAGCTCTTCAGGAACAGGGTTGGAGAGCCCTGGGCTATTGATGTTAGGATCAATAACATTGTGATGACCATGTAAGACCGTTTAAACAACATTGAGGATTAGAGCAGATAACTTAGTAAACTATTTTCTCAAAGTTTGTCCGAGCTCCTAAGAAGTTTGTCCTAGGTGCCTATGTGAGTGCCCTGCCCTTGACATCAACATTCGTTAGTGTGTTTGGGAACTAGTCAGATGCTGTTTCTTTTTACTTTCTAGTGATTACAATGTGTATAAAGTGTTTGTTGAGTGTAGGAATGTCAGACTGTTCCTGTTCAGTGTATCTGACAATAAGGAATGGTTACATCATTTTTAGATTGCTGTGTTTTTCTTTATTGTGCTGACACTTCTGTTTTAAGCTGAACAATTCACTGTATAAGGTGTTGTGATTTATTCTAAGGGCCAGCGTTAACATTTCAAGGTGGAGAAAAAGCGTTTTGTGGATAAAATGTCATTGCTGTCTTGGGCTGTGAGTGGCAATGAAATTAACAGGCACGCAGGTAATGAAGAAATCAATCAAATTAAGTTCCCCTTTTCTGCTTTCATGTAAAGTAAGGAAATAAACTGGGCTTAGCACTATAGAGATCGTTTCTCAAATAACATTACAAGTATTATCATGTTTGCTTGGTGTGTAGGAGGATGTTGAAAATCTAAAGCCAGTATATCCTCCAATAATATAGATGCTAAAGATTCATATTTTCTATTGATACACACCAGTATTTGGGGAGACCACCAATCATAGCCCTACTTAGTCTCTTCCCACAGCTGCCGTGTCTATGGGGAACGCCATGAGTTTGGCAAGCGAGACGAGGTCCTACTTGACTTTTTGAACCCCCATCCACCCACAACACTTCAATAGTAGCCTAGATTTCAGAACACAACTTTGCTCAATGGGAGTACCTCAGCACTATTTAAATAAACCTTAAAGGCTTTTGTTTGAGTCTGTGTAGTAAATTATCACACAGCATCAACTATACAGAGAATAAAATGCAAAAAAGACACATCTTACAGCTGTGCATGTTTGTTTTTTGCTAAAGTGATTTAGTCAGTGCAATTGTTTTTATTTTATTGTTTTTATTCAAAGCAGCTGACCCCAAATTAATTTCCATTTGTTAACTAGATATTCACTGAAACAATATAGGTAAAGTGCTGCAGACTGCTCCACCTAGAACTCTTAGCCCTCACTGCAGCCATTATAACACACAAAATGGCTTTCAAATTATGTAAAAGTCACCTAGTACTTGTATTTTTATAAATCTTGTCTGTGGTGATCTGAACACCAGCTGGCAGGGGTTGACGTGTTTTCTTGGCACAGTCTCTCTGTAGGCGGAGTGATGCAGCTGTTGATATTATGTTTCATGCATGGGATTGAATGTCTGAACCAATGCAGATCTTGTCCAGAGTTAATGCCCATGGGATTATATAGAGGTTCCCATGCAAATTGTGAATGAGTGTGGATTATTTATTTAATCATGCACTGTAAAGGACATGTATGCAACGCAAGGCAGAAAGGGTTATGTTTTTGTTAGATACGTTCACGTGACCCGATGTTGACATGCATAACATGAAATGGTTGTTGTGTGCTGGAAGAGACTGCTATAAACTCTATGTGTATACACTTATGTACTATTTATAAGGAATTATGTGAATCATGTGGAATATTCTTGTTTAACTTTATACATAGGATTTGTGGTAAATTAAAATATACTGTTTTTAAAAAATACAGTTAAATTAAGTAAATGATTGCTCTTTGTTGCTTTGCTCTGACTGGGCTTTTTAGGCCTAGTATACTGTTTACTACAATAGCTGTTTACTTTGTATATGGGAGGTTCAGTTTATTGTGGAGTTTTTGCACATGAGAGGAGCAAGAGAAAGTGGAAGGAGAAGCGATGTACAGGCAGAAGTAGTGACTGACAGTGATTGTCGTGACCAGGAGAAGTGCATCACTGCTGTTGCATCATACTGTAAAAGATGGGGCTCTCAAAATGTTGCCACAGCATAAACTGCAGCTCTCTGTCTGTCCTCTGTGTGACCTCCATTTCTAACCATCTACCTTCCCCTTCTTCATATGGCCATCACCCAGTCAGTTCACAACAAAAGTAAGTAAAGGATTACTAAGTGAACAGTCATCCATGGGATACACTCCAGTATCTCCCACATAAGTTAGCTCTCTTGTTTTTGCTGTCTCTCTGTCCCCCAGAATAGGATGTGGCCCTCACATATCCCATGGGGCTTTTCTGCTCTGTATTTCAGTCGAAGGTGGATTTTTATAATGGCTGAGAGGTGACTCTCTCAATAAGTAATGAGCCTACGCCAGGCTTGTGATGTGGATCAAGAGAACGCATGACTGCGGTTCATCCAGCCCCTCCCTTGTGCTTACTGACTTCCTCCATTATGTTTGGGCTAAACCAACAGCTCCATGAAAGAGGGGGAGAGAATCCTGCTGCAATGCTTCCGAGGATTAGGGGATTTACAGGAAAAAGCTTCCCAAAAATTAAGCTTACAGGACAGGAAAATGAAGTAGGACAATTGGTAACATTGGGAATGTCTGAAACCAAAACACTGAGGGAGGTAGGGGCCTAATCTGCTTTTTCGGTGACAGCTTTGTGGGGAAATGATTCCACAGATAGATTAAACACATTTAGCAAGTTGCTACCCCCCCTCCTCTCTTCATGTAAACTCTCTTGTAGGGTTAGTTAACTGGACATGACTAATGTTCCCTCAAAAATAATTAGGCGCTGAGCGAATTTCAGGTCAGCTGAGCGCAAACTTGAACATTGTGAAAATTCTATGCACTTAGTTTATTCAAGCCTGTCTCAAAATACAACACTGCCCCTTTAAGACAAAGAAAAAGCTCTTTACCTGACTCGCTTTTCAAAGATGTCTAGAACTGTACACATTTTGTGCTCTTGTAGGAAGCAATCACTCCCCTATTGCTGATTACAAATGATCTATAACTGGGCTAATAACTCACTAACTAGCAAAGGATATTAACAAAATGTGCACACGTGGCTACATGCAGCTCTCGCTTTGATCTCAAAACAAGTGCATCTACTCACGACCGCTCATGCTGTTAACACAGTCCAGTTCAAAGTAAATGAAACAGATCCATATATGGCAATTGTCTATTTGCATATAGGCCCACTGCAGCTCTGATTGTTTATGCCGCACTGGTCTGTGTAGAGTACGGGCTGAGTAGTGCGTGTCAATGCAATAGAATCCTACTCCAATGCGTTCTGACTACAACAAAATATCTTGCATTGTTAGTTTTGTTTCGGTATGTTGCTTTGAAAGTGTCTAATATTGCGTAGATTCGATCACAAGAGCCACAGCAAAGGGAAAAGTTGATAGTGTTAACAGGGAAAACTCTAAAACATTGGTCACCAACCTTTTCTGAGTCAAGATCACTGAGTCAAAATGCAAGCTGAAATCTACCGCTCAGTTTTTTTTTTAACATGACTTAAAAAACAGAAGTCTATGCAACATTAACCAATTAAAAACAGTACTGTAGCAATGAGGTTTGTGCAGTAAGCTATAGGCCCAATACATTATCACTGCATATTGTCTTTGCTTGAATTGCTCTGCCAATGCATTGTTGTTCGGGCCATTTTTTAAAATTATATTTCAAAATTTGAGGTAGGCTATATGATCACACCATTGTTATATTACTTGTGAAGCACAGATGAGTGAGCATACATTTAAATCGTTTGTGAAATGGCTAGCTAGTTAGCGGTGCGCGCTAGTAGCATTTCATTCGGTGACGTCACTCGCTCTGAGACCTTGAAGTCATTGTTCAGCTTTTGTGGAGCGATGGGTAACGGTGCTTCGAGGGTGACTGTTGTCAATGTGTGCAGAGGGTCCCTGGTTCAAGCCCAGGTAGGGGCGAGGAGAGGGACGGAAGCAACACTGTTACATTGATGCTGTTGACCCGGATCACTGGTTGCTGCGGAAAAGGAGGAGGTCAAAGAGAGGTGAGTGTAACCGGTGTGAAATGGCTAGCTAATTAGCGGTGCGCGCTAGTAGCATTCATTACTGCTGCAGTGCTTGTTGTAGCGCTGAGTGGAAATAGGCAGAACATACATTTTATGCAGGGGCGCAACTTTCACTGGGGACAGGGGGGACATGTCCCCCCCACATTCTGAAATTGCATTTTTGTCCCCCCCAGTTTTATCATTGGAATGTGATACAAAACTAGGCAACGGTGTGCTTCAGGACCATGCGGACACTTCCGAGCGGTCGGGTAGGCTGTTTGGAGTGTTCGCCTACCCATCGCGCAGGACAGCTGAATTGGGTGCACCTGCCTCCAACAGCCCGAGACGAATAAAAAAAATAGGAACACAAGGCTTTATCGTTGGGTTTTTTGGCGATCGACTAGGAATGCCTTGGAGATGCGATCGACTGGTTGGTGACCACTGCTCTAGAAAGTTCAATCTTGTGCTTCTCGCTGTGAGCTGATATGTCTGCGTGCGGGAATGCGCACGCACGCAGCTTAGAGGGAACATTGGACGTGACCTTGAGATGTAAATACAAGGTAATATGTCAGTGTGTGCTCTTAAGCATACGGTATGAGGCCTAAATATTTAGAGCAAATTAATTAATGACAAATGAATGGCATTACAATTAATGGCAACTTGCAATACAATTTAATTCAATTAGTTGCTGCAGTGGATATGGAGGTTATTTACTTAGAGTACCACTAAGTTGTGAAATGATTTGTTGTAGTGATGAGCAAGCTTCATTCTTGTGGAAGTGTAGTTAAGTTAACGCAACCACCCACACTTATGTTGCCTTTAAGGCCACTAGATTAGAGACTGTGTTATAGACCTGCATCTTATTACAAGCCTGGCTAAGCACTAAATGGAAAAGGGTAATTGTGTCAGTGATCCTGTGTCTGAAGTGTTGCTTGAGGCCCACAGCGACACAGAAAGATATGCCAACCTAACTTCCAATGAAAACAGAAGTGCCTTGTTAGGACTCAAGGATTTTAGTGGAAATGAACCCTCTCATCTATTAAGGACAGTTTTAATGTCACAATCTGTTAAATGTCCTCAGTGTTGGCTATATTGCTTTGTAAAATAGTAAAAGCCTTCAAGTGACAGATTTCATTTATGTTTTTCTCTCACAGGACCAAAGCCCAAATCTGGAGCCCTGCGCTCACTCTCTCTTCTCAACATCTGGCACCTAGCATCCAACCCCTCTACTTTGTACCTACAGTACACCCTGAACTCCCCCTCTCTCTCTGTCTGTCTCTCTGTCTGTCTCTCTCTCTCTCTGCACCCACCCCCTCCCAGCTCCCCCCTCAGTGTCCCTGATGCGTAAGAACAGTAAAGTGACGCAGCGTGAGCACACCAATGAGCATGTCACAGAGTCGGTGGCAGACCTGCTCGCTCACGAAGCGCCGCTCGACTACAAGAACAGCTCTCTGAATGTTGGAGGGGTCCCCGGGAAGAAGATTGTTCTCGAGCCCCCCGAGAACGATGGCCGCCCGGCCTGGAACAGCAAGCTTCAGTACATTCTGGCCCAGGTGGGCTTCTCTGTGGGGCTAGGAAATGTTTGGCGCTTTCCTTACCTATGCCAAAAGAATGGAGGAGGTGAGTGGCAGACCGCGCCCCCTAAGGGCTGGCTGACTAAATAGCAAGCATAGCAGAATTATTTATTGTAGCTACGTCAATGGATGAGCAGTGACCCATGTAGCAGGCCTGTATGTGATTTGAGAAAGGGGCGCTGTGCAGATTTACAAGGTCATTTCCTCCTCATCTTCCTGTCTGCCTCTGTCTGATGAAGAGTCTAGCGGCGGCTGCTTTCCTGGCAGCTCATTGACCCAGACTGTAAGAATGACATGCCAGCAACTCTGGCTTGCCATCACAGTCAGGCTGGACTGCCAAGAGAGGAGCACAGGTCCACAAACACCACTCTAAATATAGCTGTGCTATCGATTACTACTGGCACTGGGGCAGGTCAAGGCTCAGCTGATACTCTGATCAACATGAAAGGGATACTCTTAATTAAACATTAATGGCTCTGTATTTTGGTGATGGTGATTTATTTATTTTGTCATGTAGTTACAGGTGCACAGTGTAAATCTTTGCTGGTATAGTAGTTCAGAACACCCCTATTTGTCAGGGCAGGTTGGCATTTATTGGGATGACTCATGTACTGGAGGCAGCTCTGCAGAGTGGTCACTAGTTGATTTTAAACCTAACCTAACCCTAACCTTAACTCTGACCTTAACCACACTGCTAACCCTAATGCCTAGCCCTAACATTAAATGAAGGCCAATTTTGACTTTGCAGCTGTCCCATCTAGTGGAAATCGCTCAGATTTCATACTATTGTATGTTCTTGGAGTTGACAGTGTTTTGCAGAATGTGCTAAATTTAGCTTCTGCACTCCCCTGCTCTAACATAACCTAACCTCTCTACCATAAATGGATAAAAACATGCCCCATCAGTTTTAATGAGCATCACACCTCTGACCATAACAGCAGCATAAAACACCACATCTCTTACCTCTGGTCATAGAAATGACGATTAGGCATGCTCAATTCACCTCCAAAACCTCACAGTCTCCCTGTCTTCACCTGATAATGACTGATGTGTTTGGTGCACCAGCCCTGTTGTCTCTCACACACCTTCTCTTCCTGATTTATTGCTAATAGGCAGGATTTAAAGGCTCCTATAACCAAGCAGCCTGGTCGTTTGACCAGGTGAACGGCCATCTTTCACCCCCTAATTTACCTCCTGACAGCAAATTACAGCCACATTAAATGGTTCTGTGGTGTTGGGTGGTTATCGCTCTGGGCCTCCTTCCCCCTCCTCTCTCTCTCCTTCTCTCCTTCTCTCCTTCCAGCATTCTCTGCTTATCTTTCATACCTCAGTTTGCATGCTATACAGTATATCAGGGCTGTTAGCTGGCCTCAGTTCAGATAGGCTGCAATTGATTGGATCCGGCTGAAAGGGCACTGTGTTTGTCAACTGATCTGAGGACACTTTGGCTGGGGGCCAAATGCAGCGAGCAGGATTGACTTATCCTTTCCTGAACTACATTGTACTTCTTTCTCTCTTCATTCTAGGACCTTGGTCTTTTTGTGCCGTAATATTCAATCCATTCCCACTGGGCCAGGGCCATTCACAGACCTTTGGGGGGGAGGGGTGCAGGTGCTCAAAATACAAAATGGTCAACCAGTGGCCAGAGGAGAGCACTCTTGGGGCAGGAGGGTGGGGGAGGGGGTATTTTCTGAGATTCAAGAGCTTATGAAATAGCTAGTTTCATGCGCAATTCGTTACATTTAAAATGTTTTAAAAAATTAAGAAATAAAAAGTAATTCATAAAATACAAAAAATCCACAAGGTGCGAGGGGACTTTTTCAAAGGAGGGCAAAAGGTCAGGTGCTCGGGCATTGGATCTGTGCATGTGCCTGTACTGGGGGATAAACTTGTTGAATCAACGTTGTTTCCACATCAGTTCAACAAAAAATGTAATGTGATGATGTTGAATCAATGTGGAAAACTGATTGGATTCGCAAAAAGTCATCAATACATAAATTAATTTGGGGATTTTATTTTTATTTTCTTACCCAATTTCTTACCTACTTCCAATGACCTGGTTCTATTTTTTGTTGATCTCATGTTGAATTTACATTAGTAACAACTCAATTAAAACTAGACGTTGAACTGACGTCTGTGTCCAGTGGGCTATGAGCTCTGGGCTATGTAACTGGTACTCCTGAAGTATGAGTATTAGTGATAGTGATTCAGCGTAAGTATTAGCATCCTGATGATCAAATACAGTAGCATCCTGATTAAGCCTCTCTTGGATTAAGCTGGGAAGGTCCAAATTTAGACATCCCCCATAATTCAAATCAAATACTAAAATAGACCTTAGTAAATCACTGGTTGGATGGGCTCTGACTTGCAGGGTGGGAGAGTAATATAGAACACTTTCAAAGGTGTCAGCAAACAAAAAGCTATTACATATTGCAGTGACAAGTGATGCAGAACTGTTAAGTACAAACAGACAGACACCATAGTGTCCTGAGTCTCAGAGCTCTGGCCTCTCCCCTGACTCACTGAGTTGGCCTTCTACTTCGTGACCACCAACTAGAGGGTTTGTCTTCCTGTCACCCAGTCTGTCCACCTCTCCCCTTCCCCTCTGGCTTTGTAATGAGACACAATCAATTATAATTAGTGTTCTAGAAACAGCTCAGAGGAACAGAGCCAGGGTCCACAGTAAATGTTAAGTCTCTCCATTGATCCAGCAAGGTAGCCAATTGAAACTTGTGCATTATTTCAAAGGAAAGGTGTTCCACATTTTACACAATGCTTAGTACTGTAATATCACACATACAGTATGTGTACTTCTCATGTACCTAATAGTCTATTGGGAGAAATATAGCATGATCACTTTGACCCCTTTCTTTCAGGTGCCTACTTAGTCCCGTATTTCATCCTCCTCATCCTCATCGGCGTCCCGCTCTTCTTCCTGGAGCTGGCGGTGGGCCAGAAGATCCGACGTGGGAGCATCGGGGTGTGGAACTACGTGTGCCCCCACCTGGGCGGGATAGGGGTGTCCAGTCTAATGGTGAGTGACAGTGAGGATGGTGTCTTTGGTTTAAGGTTGCCTATTATATCACCTCTTGGTTGAAGTGGAGGCTGGAAATCAGTTTGTTAACTGATCACCCTCCAATCATCAGCTACATAATGCTATTTGTTTTAACATGATTTTGGTGTAATCTGTTTATATTCTGAAGTGCTTGTTCCACGTAACGAAATATACAGTGTCCCAAGAGAAAAACAGTGTGACTGACCACAGTGCACTGCAGAGGGAAACAGATAGGTCAGTGTGATAAGGATAATGGATGTGGGGTTTATCACTGGGAGCTTTCGCTGAATGGGCTCTTATTTCAACAGAGTCTCTCTACCTCAGTGACTGTGTGATTTATTAAGTATGCTATTTTCTGCATATACCAACACTTTGTGGCCTCTCCCCTGACTATCTCCATGCTTGGCTGCCTTAGCATACTGTTTTTACCACATGCATTGTGGTGCTGTCACCAGCACTCTATTTAACACCCACCGACCCGAATCTCTTTAAAGGCCCAATGCAGTCGTTTTTATCTCAATATCAAATTATTTCTAGGTAACAGTTAGGTACTTTACTGTAATAGTTTTCCATTAAAAGGGTAATTAAATTTTTTTTTTTTTGAAAAAAACTATTTCTCAAGCAAGAATTTCGCTGGGAGTGGTCTGAGTGGGTAAGGGGGGATATGTAATCTGAAAACTAGCAGTTATTGGCAGAGAGATTTGGAACTCTCTTTGTTATTGGTCTATATTAACTTATACCGCCTAGTGATGTCACCAGACAAGCCACAACTCCACCCATGCAAAACCTGCTGATTAGAAGGTTCTGTGTAGATTGTATTTTCAACCAGCAACTATCAGGAAATAACACTGATCAAATTGCTTCACACTTTTACAGTGTTAGTTTCATCAGTTGCTGTATAATATGATACAAAACACAGGAACATTTCATTTTGACTGCACTGGGCCTTTAAGATAAAAGCTGTTGTTCATGCTTTCTGTGTATATGCCAGTTTGATAGGATGGATCTATTTAAACAGCTCCAGGTCTTGAATTTGGCATATAGGAAATTTTGTGACTCACATCACATAATCTCACTGTCACAACATCACATAACATGCCAACCTCCCACTTTAATAAGAGATATCTCACAAAGGTGGATCATTTATTTTGGGAAGCATTCAGTGTCCATTTATGAATATTGTGAGAGGAAATAGACATTGTGTAAATCTGTTGAGCTGGAATGTGTAATCACTAATGAGGCAAACTTGCTTTAGGGGATAGATAGATATGCCTTGATTTGTAATTGAGCATAGCAGGTCTAAACATGGTTCCCCATGTCTGCATCACCTTACACAACTCAAAACAAACATACTCTGACTCTGTGCTATTATGATGGAGAAAGCTATCTCACGTTCTTCATTCCATAAGATGTGACATAAACAGTTGTATGAGTCGTAGTTGTATAATGTAGATAGATGAAAGAATAGGACTATAAAGATGAGTAAACCGGATAATGTCCTAGATAGTGAGAGAGAGGCGGAGATGGGGGGGCTTAGGGTGTGAGAGAGAGACAGCCCCTCGTTGGTGTTGCACATGACTGAGAGTGGCAGCTATAAATACCTCTTAAGAGATCACTGTGGAAATGGCTGAAAGAGTGTACTTCAATAATTCATGGATTTCCCGACCTGGTTTAGCTTCTGCCTGTCCTTGTTGACATGGCGAGGCTCAGAAGATTACATTTTTGTCATTTAGTAGACACTTTTATCCAGATTACATTCTTATCCTAATTGCCAATTAGTGTTAAGAGCCTTGCTCAAAGGCACATTGATAGATTTTCACAGTCAGCTCTGGTATTCAAACCAGAGACCTTTTGGTCACTGGCCCAATGCTCGTAACCACTAGGCTACATGCCACCTTAGGAACATGAGAAAAGAACATACTCCTGCCTAAATAGACCATCTGAATGAGAAATATATTGAAATTACCTCTCACGGTACAGTAGTGTATGTATGGATATTCACACACACACACACACACACTCATTGTGTCAAATTGCCATTTGACTGAAAGAGTGGCATCAACCAGCAGTGACAGGGACTTGTGCAGAGGAGCACCTCAGGCGTGAGTGTGAGTTTCATTGGACTTTCTTACTCTAACAGACTCTGCCTCTCCTACATTCCAGGTGTGTGGCTTTGTGGGGCTCTACTACAACGTCATCATCGGCTGGAGCATCTTCTACTTCTTCCAGTCCTTCCAGTACCCACTGCCATGGGCCGAATGCCCTATCAGGAGGAATGGATCATTATCCAGTGAGTGGATGCCAGATCTGAACAGAGGGACGGAGGAGAGATGCAGAGGGCAAAGAAAATGGAGTCATAGAACTCCTCTGAACTGTTTGATAAAGCCCAAGCAGCTGAGTGGCCATGACCAATGTGGTATGCCACAGTTGGTCTCACAAACTAGAAAGGATTTAATGAATATTGAATTAAACCTCTCTCCTTTTTTAAGAAGGCCTGTATTTGATTAATCAGATATGACTAATTTCCGTCTTGTTATATGCACTCATTTTGCCCTGTAGAATAATCCATACTTGCACAATCATTTTTGGTCAGTCTGAGAGAAACACATATTTGTGTTTTGTAATTCAATCTTCCGGTTCAATACAGTTTTGGCCAGGGTGGGCACTGAATCTCACATCTAACTAGCTTACTTACGAGTATCCTTCATGACTCAGATGGAGATAATACAGATGAAAGTCCTTTGACACTCTTAGATTAGAGGTGGTGATAATACAATCCCAGCGGTTCCAAGAATCACTCAGCGCTCACCTCTCCTCTCCTCTGCTCTGCTCCTCACATGACTCAGCAGTATGAAGACAGTCAGCCACCAGTGAGCATGGAGGAGAGCAGCTGTAGCTGGTCAGATAGAAGGGTTCTTACACTGAGAGACAGAGGCATATGGCATGGTGTTGCAAGTCATCATGTTATTGTCTAATCCATTCCCTCCAGGATTCCGGGATTCTGCGATCGCAAATCTTTTAGCAAAATAAACAATTCCCTGCATATTATGCGAGGGTTTGCAAATTTGACCAAGCACCACACTATTTCCGCGTAAAACAATCAAATCATTGCAATATTATTGCATAAAACTGACCCATCACCGCAGTACAAAAAGAAGGATCGCAATTTACAACCAATCACCGCACATTTACCGCATAATATGGTTCAATCAAGCCACGTCAACAAACGTTTTAACTCGTCAGTGCATTTTCGCAACAAATTTGACAAAATCATCACATATTGCCATGCAAAATGTCAGAATTTATGCAGCAAAATCAAGCATTTTGGTCTGCAAATATCACAAAAAGTCCCAGCGAAATCCTGGAGGGACTGGTAATCATACAGTACCACACATACAGGATTGTATGTGATTCCCCATAGGTTTGCTCTTTACAAATGGTGGTTTACTACACCATGCCACACTCCTACACTACAGTATAGTGGGATTTGAGTTTTTCCACAGTGGCATTACAGGTTGTCTGTAGCATTGTCTTTAATTCTGTGTGAAAAAGTGACCTCGCGCCATGGTCATACAGATGTAGGATTTTAATTTGCTCACCCTGTTGCAGGAGAACTTGTAGTGTATTTGAGGTTTAAAAAGGCTTCTGGAGTCTGTAATTTCCACTTTGGAATTACATACTTGATTTTCCCTTACGAAAAATTTATCAACCCCTACAAAAATGTCAATTAATTCTAATCCACATAATAATTCAAATTTCCTGTTGCTGCAGGATTATTTTCCTGCTGTAGCAAACTGGCTCAAATTAAGTAATAATAGTAATATGCCACTTAGCAGACGCTTTTATCCAAAGCGACTTACAGTCATGTGTGCATACATTTTTTGTGTATGGGTGGTCCCGGGGATCGAACACACTACCCTGGCGTTACAAGCGCCGTGCTCTACCAGCTGAGCTACAGAGGACCACATCTGTAGAGAAAGGTAGACCCTATCATTCATGCAGGTGTGTGGGACCCCAGGACCACGCTGCTCTGCACCCACTCTGACCTGGCCCAATGGTTACATGTCTGCATTAACCACATCAAATAAACTGTGGTTAACATTGGCATCGGCAGGGTCAGATCAGCTAAACACAGAGACCAAGGTCATTCAGACCTAGCGTTCACTTTTAATACAGTTCTGTGCTTCTGGAGTGACATGCAGGAGTGGAGGGGTAAGAAGAAGGGAGATGGGAGAGATAAGGGAAAGATATACTGCATATAACCTGGAATGCCATCACTCATAGACAGAGAGAGAGATAAAAGAGAGGATCAAATTAGAATTATGGGAGGCCATCATGATTTCCTCTGCTGAACATTGCCATCTACCTGACATAAATAGAGACTGGTACACTTAGTTGACCTGGCAATTTCTGTGCATGCATGTGTGTGTGTGTGTCTCTGTGTGTGTGTGTGTGTGTGTGTGTGTGTGTGTGTGTGTTTGTGTGCATGTTTTTGTGTGTGTGTGTGTGTGTGTGTGTGTGTGTGTGTGTGTGTGTGTGTGTGTGTGTGTGTGTGTGTGTGTGTGTGTGTGTGTGTGTGTGTGTGTGCGTGCCTGCATGTTCTTGCATGCGTGTGGGTGCATATGCGTGTATTTCTGCAGTACCTCTGTAAGACTGCTTTCTCCAGACTTAAATCCATGTATCATTTCCCCAAGGTTGAACTATAAAAGGTGAAAATATGCGCAAAGAAAAATGTCAAGCGTCTTGAATGAGGGCTCACACTGTGCATACCAAGTTCAAGGATGAACCTTGTTTACCTTACTAATGTCCATCTGGGAGAACCAATCCAGGGGGGAGAGGGGATTTGGTCCCTGTGTAAACATTCTCTCCCTCATTTTATTTATTCTCTATCTTTCTCCCTTCTACTCCCCTTATCCCTTTACTTTCCCTATCACATCCCTCCCTCCCCTCTCTCTCTCCCTCTCTTTCATCCTCCCTGACCTCCCTCCCTTTTCACAACAACTCTTTTCACTCTCCCTCTCTCTCTCCCTCCCCTCTCTCTGACCACCCCCCTCCCCCTCACCCCTCTGCAGTCGTGGAGCCTGAGTGTGAGAAAAGCTCAGCCACCACCTACTTCTGGTACCGCCAGACCCTGAACACCACCAGCACCATCGCAGACAGCGGCGGCCTGAACGTCAAGATGACCCTGTCTCTGCTGGTGGCCTGGATCATCGTCTGCCTGGCTGTCATCAGAGGCATCGCGTCCTCTGGGAAGGTAGGGAGCGCTGTGGGGAGAGAGGGGAGAAAGGGGAGGGTTTGTGGGGAAGGCCAGGGGGTGTGGGGAGTATGGGGAAGAGGGAGAGGGAGAGGGGCAGCGGATGTGGCGGGAGAGGGGCAGGGGGTGTTGGGGGGAGAGTCAAAAGAGTGTAGGGAAGATATATGACAGGTCCCAACTTTTTCTAGAACATGACATGACTAACAATTGCACTGGAATATTAGCCTACTGGACTGGAGTCCTACCTTCCTCTGGCATGTATAGTGTAGTTGTTGTACAGAATGTGTGATTGTAAGTTGTTTCCTGTGGTCTGACAGGTGATGTACTTCAGCTCGCTGTTCCCGTACGTGGTGCTCTTCTGTTTCCTGGTGAGAGGTTTGCTGTTGAAGGGTGCTGTCGATGGCATTGCACACATGTTCACTCCCAAGGTGAGATTCAGAGGAGGCCGTTACACACACACACACACACACACACACACACACACACACACACACACACACACACACACACACACACACACACACACACACACACACACACACACACACACAAACACACACACACACAGAAGCTTCCATTGCAGTTGTATGCTGTCATTTATAGGAAAAGCCAGTGGTAAGACAGCTACTATACCTATAGAATGTATAAACATTTCTAATGATTAAAACCAAGTTAGCCACCTAGCTAACACATCATTCATATAGTAATTCGTAACATATCATAATGTCATACTAATTTGAGTGTCCCAGATTTTATTTTACTATGTTACGTCTACCCCTGAGTCCAGGTTGGTCAGTCAATGTGTTACTGTGTGTTCCAGCTGGAGAAGATGCTGGAGCCCCAGGTGTGGAGAGAGGCAGCCACCCAGGTGTTCTTTGCCCTGGGCCTGGGCTTCGGTGGAGTTATTGCCTTCTCCAGCTACAACAAGATAGACAACAACTGCCACTTTGACGCCGTGCTCGTCTCCTTCATCAACTTTTTCACCTCCATCCTTGCTACTCTGGTTGTTTTCGCTGTGCTGGGCTTCAAGGCAAACCTAATGAACGAGAAGTGTGTCATAGAGTGAGTTCAAATCAAATGCCCTAGCAGCCATCTATAGTGATGGTGGAGGGAATTCAAGCTGTATAATACAGAATTAAACGACTCTTTGCTCACACCATACATTTATTATCATGCCCTCTCTGTGATCAGATTCAGGACTTTTGCCGTAATCTTCATCTTGTGCATGTTTCAACATGTTTCCCTGTGGTCTCTTCAGGAATGGAGAGAAGATGCTTGGCTACCTGAACTCTAACGTGCTGAGTCATGACCTCATTCCGCCACACGTGAACTTCTCCCAGCTGTCCACAGTAGAATATGCTGAGATATACGGTGTCATCAAGACGGTGAAGGAGGGCAGCTTCGCTGAGCTGGGCCTTGACCCCTGTGTCCTGGAGGATGAGCTCAACAAGGTACAGTGGGTCTGTCTGTCTGGGCTCTGAGCTCTACCTCACCGAAACTGGGTCTGAATATGAGCCAGTTCCACAACACCAAACCAATTAGGCTTTTTCTAATCATCCTCATACTGTACTTAACTAATCTCCTTCTTGGCTCTTCTGTCCCCTCTCTCTCTCTCTATCACAATCTCTTGGTCCTCTTTTGCACCCTCTCTCCTTCACTTTTTTTCTCTTTCTCTCTCTCTCTTATCCCTCTTTCTCTGTAGTCTGTGCAAGGTACAGGCTTGGCTTTTATTGCCTTCACCGAGGCCATGACTCATTTCCCAGCTTCTCCCTTCTGGTCTGTCATGTTCTTCTTCATGCTCATCAATCTGGGCCTGGGCAGTATGATCGGCACTATGACAGGCATCACCACGCCCGTCCTCGACACCTACAAGGTCCAGAAGGAGCTTTTCACAGGTCAGCCCTAAAAACCACTGTGGTGCTCCCATTCTCCTCTATCATAGTTACAAACGCAGGTTGGCAGTTATTGTCATGAGTCTTGTTCTGGAGGCAGCTCTGCAGAGTGGTCACTAGCTGGCACAGCCACAAAGTCATAAAATCTGATTTTAAACCTAACCCTAACCCTAACCTAAACCTTAACCACAATGCTAACCCTAATGCCTAACCCTAACCTTAAATTAAGACCAAAAAGCACATTTTTGTTTTTATGTAGCTCAATTGGTAGAGCTCAGTTGGTAGAGCATGGCGCTTGCAACACCAGGGTTGTGGGTTCGATTCCCACGGGGGGCCAGTATGAAAAAAAAAAAATGATGCACTCACTCTGGATAAGATCGTCTGCTAAATGACTAAAATGTAATGAATTTTTACGATATAGCCAATTTTGACTGCTGCTGGCCTTGCTAGCTGAAACCGCTCAGTTCTGCCTCCAGGGCAAGACTCATGACAATAAACGTCAACCTGCGTTACAAACACAAATTCAGCACATTTCACCAAGACGTAGTGGGTAACTACATAAGACTCGTGAATTCTACGATTTTTAAGGATGAGTACTTTTTCCTACTTTTGTTGTAGTCCTTTGAGGCTGAACACAAAGTCATCGCAATAAAAGCAATGGATTGCATAAATAAAGACTTTCTCATCCAAGGATCCACAAAGGTTTTACATAATGTGAAGGTTATTCAACCACAACTGAAGAAGAGATAAAAATGCTGAAGTCACTGCAAACTTTCTGACTAATGCTTTTACCTCATCTTGCTCCAATTCCCTCTCTCTATTTCTCTTTCTTTCAGTGTGCTGCTGCATCATAGCCTTTTTCTGTGGCCTGCTCTTCGTCCAGCGCTCTGGGAACTACTTTGTCACCATGTTTGATGACTACTCCGCTGGTCTGCCTCTCACTATCGTGGTCATCCTGGAGAATGTGTCAGTGGCCTGGATCTACGGCACCAAGAGGTACAGGATGGTGTCTCCTCTGAGAGCCCTATAGTGTCAGAAGTAGCTTTGTAAAGTGAACACACTGATCATCACTGATATTGAAATGTGTGTTTTTCATATGGATTAAGAGGGAAATTGAATATGAGGAAGGATAATATTAAGAAAGGATTGAGAAAGAGTCAAGGAACACCTGAATACTGTAAACTGTAAACTGAAGGAGTTGGTTGGATCTATGTTAAACCCACCTGTGTGTGTGTCAGGTTTATGCAGGACCTGGAGGACATGTTGGGTTTCCGGCCCCACGCCTTCTATTTCTACATGTGGAAGTACGTCTCCCCTTGTTGTCTCATCATTCTCATCACAGCTACCGTTATCGAGATGGCCATCAGCCCTCCAGGGTACAACGCATGGGTAGAGGAACTGGTCAGTTAACCTGTTGGCAGACAGTGCAAAGTTTCATATAGACACTTCATATAGACACTTATTGACATTTTGTGTACTAGCCTTGTTACAGAGTTTGCAGTCAGCACCAGGAGTATTTATTTTTCACTCTATTTCCCTTTGTAACTTTGTTTCTCTCTCTCTAGGCTCAGGAGCGTTTCCAGAGCTACCCTCCCTGGGCATTGGCCATGTGCTTTTCTCTCATCGTGGTGGCCATGCTTCCTCTCCCCATCGTCTTCATCGCCCGCCACTTCAACCTGATGACCGACGGCTCCAACAAGCTGTCCGTCTCCTACCGCAAGAGCATGATGAAGGACATCTCCAATCTGGAGGAGGTGGATGAGACGCGCTTCATCCTGGGAAAAAACCCAGGAGAGACGCCCTCGCCTAAGCCCCCATCCCGAGCCTACCTGGGCCCCCCGGGCACCAACCCCCTGGAAAACCCCAACTCCCTGTCCCCCAACAGCTGCTATGGGACAGGCTACCAGAACGCCATCAGCCCCACAACCCCCACCACCCCTGTCACCCCCACCACCACTGAGTCCGACTCATGATCACTGTCCATCTTCTTCATGTCCCTCACCCTAGCCTGACCCTAAACCCCTAATGATCTCTCCCTCCTAGGCCATCTCACCCTCAACCCTACAGAGTCTCACCACCAGGGGGTGCTGCAGCGCTGCCCAAAACACCACAACCACCACCCTCACATGCTCTGAGTGACCCTTATCGCAGGACAGCCCTCTCCCCCTCTCCGCTCCTCCCCAGCCCCAGAGGTTAGATTTTACTGCAGCAGGGGTGGCTGCCACACAGGCCTCTGCTTTGATAAGGAACCACATGTTCAGGTGTCTGAGATGTTGCAGTGGTATATATCAATCCCTACTGGAGGGTATGCAATGCTGGACATGCAGTATGTTTTGGTCTAGATCAGGGTTCCCCAATAGGTGGCCCGCATGTGATTTTATTTTGCCCCCCAATTTCTCAGAGCTATTTTTTTTCTCCAAATATTTTCATTGTTGGACATAAAAGACTGTAAAATCATCAGGAAATCAGCTCAAAGTGATTTTAATTTAGGATGTCTGTTCCCAAGTATTCCCACGCATAAATAGAAAGGCATATGTGATCATATCCCAATGTAATCAAGGTTTGAAATTATTCTGTTTTTGTCAAATACTATATCTGTTTGGGATTCTTGCAGTCAATTTGCAGTGTACAAATTATTTATAACTATGTTCCGGCTCCCCGACCATCCGCTCAAGGAATAATCGGCCCACGGCTGAATGTAATTGGACCCCTGGTATAGATGTTTTTAGAGTGGTAGGAGAAGAGGCTCAATAGAAATGGACCCAAGAAAATAACATATTTATTTCCCCCCTCACAAATATTGATAGGTAATAATAATGACACTATAAAGTACGAGATTGACAGTAACCTAATAACCTCATAACAGGTTAACATTTGCATAATATTTGGCCCCTAGGGAGTGTTATATGGTCTGCTTTTCATGCTTATTGTAGACAGAGGTCAGGGGAATGTAGAGGAACCTCATATTTACATTGCCATTAAGTGACAACTGAATGTGAGTAGCTATATATGTTTGTTGCAGGTTTGAAGCCTTTGAAACTTTGCAGTTCTCCATGTCAGTCCTCTATATCATATTATAGCCATAGAGTGTGGTTATGCTTTCCCTTTATTTTATGTGGAACATTTCCTTGTAATTTAGTGTGCCACTGAAGCACTTGAGTGAACCACTGCTCTTGACACACCACTTTTCGCTTCAATGCTATACCTGCTTCAGCTAAAAGTGTTTAGAGGCAGGAACAATATTGTTTGGCATTGGTTACAATGCCAACAGTCCAGAGGGCTCTGTATATTTTGAAAGATTATGTGCAAGGCTGCTGTAAAGCCACTGTCTTCATTGTCTATTTGCTAGTTTCGGGTTGGGGGGGCGGGGCTATACATTTACCGTTGACGGGAGGGGGGTTATAAAGGCCCAGTTCAATGTGGAGGAGTTATATAATGTTACTTCAGGCCACGCATAGCTGTTGTATTAGAAACTTCAGTACCTCCACCAAAGAGTGAAAACTAGATATTAATAAGGACAGACAGTCGACCACATCCTGTACATACACCATAGAGAGGAATGAACAGATCACCATCAATTTCAGAGGAGGAAAACAGGAAGAAATGCACTGTATAATGTGCTGCTATTGATGTAGAAGCTGAAAGATGAATAGTCCATTCAGAATTATAAATGGTACAGATGAAGCGTACCTCCCAGACACAAAACTTTTTTGACGATCTCATGTTATGATTCCCTGTTATTGTTAGTTTTTTGCAATAAATTACTACGAAGCACATAAAAGGCACAATTTCACAAAGGGATTGACATAACAAATCATTTAAAATAATTCATCAACACAAGATTGTAGTATGTAGGCACAAACTTGGATGGGCACAAATATGAATGCACAAATAGGGTTTAATGGGCACAAATAGGATTGTACTACAGCCAATGTGATGATTAAGGCACAAACTATGGTCGTGGCAGACCAATAGAGCTGGAGCTGAATGTACAGTACAAACAAAAAAGCAGCATGAATTGAACCCTTTAAGCACAAATAAAACTCACCACTTCACCTTCTCTTATCTTCAACATTTATGGACCAAACAATGTGGCAATCACTATTGGACCAAATCAGATCAAAGTCGGATTGTAAGGCAATCTCAATTTTACTGAGGAATATAAACCTTCCAATGGTTGATCCTCAAATCTCTATTTATTGATACTCAACAGAAAGGTAGTGCTTCCTGCATTAATAATGTCTTAATTTAAACCAAGAGCAGTTTTCCATATTACTATTTCAACCCTCTTACAGAAGTGAAGTAATCAAACCAGATAGAGAACTCATACAATCACACAGTGTTAGTTTAATCTACCAAGACCTTTTCCCGCTAGTATTTACTTACCTTCATTACACACTCAGCAAAGATTTTAAACATGTCGTTGCCATAACTCAGAAGTACCCCTGAAAGGCTAAAGAAGGGAGCACATTCCCCCAGAACATAGCCCACTTTCATAACTATACTTGGCCTGTAACTCTTCTCAATTGATTTTCAGCGAGCTGTGAAGTCAAAATGATTCCATTTTAGCTAACTTAATTTTTTGAAGAGGATTCCTTTATTTATTGTTTAGCACAATGTTCAAGGCCAGGTGTTGATGATTAAATTGACTATATTTATATTACTGTATAATATTCTATCTGTGTATGTTGGTGTACATTTAATTGTATATTTGAATATTTCTCTATTTTGTAGTTGGTGTACCTTATCTGTGATTATGGGAGTGTAAAAGGAGTGGGAAGATTGTTTGGGGGAGGGGGGTACAGGTACGTTTACCTTGTGTGATCCCAATGTAGACTTGTTTGTGACTGTATATTGTCGAACTCTGGTGAGCTCTGGTTCTCATGTGTTCCTCTCTCAGCTGCTTATAGAGAGGCGTAGCCCTCCAGATAAGAACATGTGGATAAGCATCTCCATACAGTAGATTACTGCCTATCCCACCAGTCCTTGGTTGAAGTACTAGTCAAACTTTGTTTTAGTCATTGGCCTGGAGCCAGTCGCTCTTATTGTTGTACCATGTCGAAATCCCTCACTTTAAAAGTCTGTAAATATTATTGTGTCTGTAAGATTCTACAACCAATAACAATCACATTATTCTAAAGATAGAACACAACTTGTGAAATATATATGTCTTAACACTGCAGAACTGTTTTAATAACAGTTAATGTGGAAGAAAATACTATTGAATGTGAATATGAAAGCACTTTTTAACTTAAAATCTAAAAGAGTATTGTTTTGTTTTGTTTTTGTCTGCATATTGGTACGCTCAATGTTTGCCCTAGCTTGGGTACAGTCTGTGTTAAAGCAATATCTTATTATATAAATATCTTATTATATATATTATACTGCTGGAGCTACAGTAGCGGGATGGGAGGCTAAAACCTCTACAGTGAGGGAAAAAAGTATTTGATCCCCTGCTGATTTTGTACGTTTGCCCACTGACAAAAAAATGACCAGTCTATCATTTTAATGGTAGGTTTATTTGAACAGTGAGAGACAGAATAACAACAAAAAAATCCAGAAAAACGCATGTCAAAAATGTTATAAATTGATTTGCATTTTAACGAGGGAAATAAGTATTTGACCCCCTCTCAATCAGAAAGATTTCTGGCTCCCAGGTGTCTTCTATACAGGTAACAAGCTGAGATTAGGAGCACACTCTTAAAGGGAGTTTTTTGTTGTTATTCTGTCTCTCACTGTTCAAATAAACCTACCATTAAAATTATAGACTGATAATTTCTTTGTCAGTGTGCAAACGTAAAAAATCAGCAGGGGATCAAATACTTTTTTCCCTCACTGTATAGGGAAAATGAATAGTGGTTAGAAACTGCCCCTTTGTAGCTAAGGTGTTATAGTGACTCTCAACATAATACAGTGCCTTGCAAAAGTATTCATCCCCCTTGGCGTTTTTCCTATTTTGATGCATTACATACTGTAATTTAAATGGATTTTTATTTGGATTTCATGTAATGGACATACACAAAATAGTCCAAATTGGTGAAGTGAAATGAAAAAAATAACTTGTTTCAAAAAATTAAAAAAAATAAATAACAGAAAAGTGGTGCGTGCATATGTATTCACCCCCTTTGCTATGAAGCCCCTAAATAAGATCTGGTGCAACCAATTACCTTCAGAAGTCACATAATTAGTTAAATAAAGTCCACCTGTGTGCAATCTAAGTGTCACATGATCTGTCACATGATCTCAGTATATATACACCTGTTCTGAAAGGCCCCAGAGTCTGCAATATCATCAAGACCAAGGAGCTCTCCAAACAGGTCAGGGACAAAGTTGTGGAGAAGTACAGATCAGGGTTGGGTTATAAAAAAATATCCTAAACTTTGAACATCCCACGGAGCACCATTAAATCCATTATAAAAAAATGGAAAGAATATCACACCACAACAAACCTGCCAAGAGAGGGCCACCCACCAAACCTCACGGACCAGGCAAGGAGGGCATTAATCAGAGAGGCAACAAAGAGACCAAAGATAACCCTGAAAGAGCTGCAAAGCTCCACAGTGGAGATTGGAGTATCTGTCCATAGGACCACTTTAAGCCGTACACTCCACAGAGCTGGGCTTTACGGAAGAGTGGCCAGAAACAAGCCATTGCTTAAAGAAAAGAAGTGAAGCATGATGGTGGCAGCATCATGCTGTGGGGATGTTTTTCATCGGCAGGGACTGGGAAACTGGTCAGAATTGAAGGAATGATGGATGGCGCTAAATACAGGGAAATTCTTGAGGGAAACCTGTTTCAGTCTTCAAGAGATTTGAGACTGGGACGGAGGTTCACCTTCCAGTAGGACAATGACCCTAAGCATACTGCTAAAGCAACACTCAAGTGGTTTAAGGGGAAACATTTAAATGTCTTGGAATGGCCTAGTCAAAGCCCAGACCTCAATCCAATTGAGAATCTGTGGTATGACTTAAAGATTGCTGTACACCATCCAACTTGAAGGAGCTGGAGCAGTTTTGCCTTGAAGAATGGGCAAAAATCCCAGTGGCTAGATGTGCCAAGCTTATAGAGACATACCCCAAGAGACTTGCAGCTGTAATTGCTGTAAAAGGTGGCTCTACAAAATATTGACTTTCGGGGGTGAATAGTTATGCATGCTCAATTTTCTGTTTTTTTGTCTTATTTCTTGTTTGTTTCACAAGAAAAAATATTTTGCATCTTCAAAGTGGTAGGCATGTTGTCTAAATCAAATGATACAAACCCCCCCAAAAAATCATAATTCCAGGTTGTAAGGCAACAAAATAGGAAAAATGCCAAGGGGGGTGAATACTTTCGCAAGCCACTGTATATGAGTGTGTGAGTGTGGGTATGTGTATTTGTGTGTATGAATCTGTGTTAGTGTAGTTTCCTTCTGATAATAAGCGGGTGCAGGGCCTTACCAAGCACTCTCTCTTCAGTCATGATGATTGTACAGTACTGAAGCTACATGTGAAAAGAGTAATAATGATTTGTGGATATCACCGCACATATCAATAAAGAATAAACAACCTGTGAGTGATTTGTGTTGAACTTTTAGGACAAGATATAGCTATCTAGATTAGGCTGGACCTTGTCCTGGAACACTGTTCTGTTTAGTGTACAAATAATACATAAGACATGGGAGTATAGTGTTTCCTAAAACTAATACACTAGCATTTCACAATTCAGTGATTTGGCACTCAACGTATCCCACATTGGGACATAACCACGGCCACAGTGGAACACAATCACACATGTTATCACTCTCATTTAGTACTGTACACTGTACACAGAGGAACGTATTGTACACACAGGAAATGGAAAATGTCATGGTTCACAAGGATCATCATTCATTCACATTTCAATTCATTATAAATACTTCCTTTGTACAGATCTGTAAAGAAATCCCTTGGAGAGGCCATCAGATGGCACACATCTGTATAGAACTGTTGTTATTCTGGCAGAGGAAATGGTGCCGTCTTCCCTCACTGTGGCCTCGTAACAGATGTTTTTGCAGAGAACAGCTAAAGGATTTCTCGGAAGCCCATGTATGACCCTTGAATTAGATTGTGCAAGAGGACACTGCTCTGAACATATTCAGGATTCACACATCAGAACACAGGCATTATACATTTTATTAGACAACTTTTTGAGTTGTGTATGATTATTACAGACAGATATTGTGGTGAAATCACGCTCTCACACAAATGTGACATATAATGTGTATAAGAAAATTACTTGACTGAAACTTTAATGCATAGGACCTTGAATACTCAAGGTAGTCCTTTGCTCATGTTTGCCCAAAAATGATAAAATGTAACATTTTTTGATGTTAAATATTTTATAATATAGCTATAATGTCCAAATCTGGTGTAATGGAAAACTCAGGATTCAGTCTTTACCTCCAGGGTCTCATAGCCAGACTTAGGCTGGGATTCAATCAAAGGCGCATTGGACTCTAAGAGGGAAAGCGAGAGAAAGGTTTAGCTTGTTTTCTGAGCAACAAAAATAGGGATATTAATAAAATAAAATAATATAAATATATACTGATGATATGAAATACCTGAACACGACCTCTCCTTGTTCTCCTTATAACAGCCATTGTTCTGGCTGCTCCCCTCTTGGAGAAGGCTGGCTGAGTGCTCCAGACAGGGCAGGTGTTGCCTCTTCTTCTTCTTTGGGACAGGCATGGCTATGGTCAGAATACATGCCAGAGCACACAGACATCCGACCACCATGCCAAGCCCGGTCTCAGGGTACATGTCCCCATAGCCCAGGGTTGTCATGGTCACCACAGCCCACCAGAAGTTGATGGGGATGTTCTTAAAATGAGTGTGTGCAGTGGAAGTTGGGTCTTCAGGGTCACCATGCACTCACTCTGTGTAGTATTCCAGGGTGCTGAAGATAAGTATACCAATAGTAAGGGAGACACAGGCTTTAGACATTTCTATTAGACGTTTTAATCTGTTGTGTTAATATTGTTAGAGGTTTGCATGTTTTATATGAAAGAGAATACATTTCATCTGTTTATATTTCTCCTGATTAACCATACATCCTTTTGATTATTACAGACTTGGCAACATGTTGTTATGAATATCAACAACAATGCTACGCTTTCACCCAAACAGAGAACATAACAAATCATTAATAAAAAGTAACCAGGCAAATATTTATCCAATTACAAAATAGCATTTTGTAAGCTCATCGTTTCACATATAGAAAAAGAAAGGTGACATATGGATGGAACTCACACAACAATCTTAATACTCAGTTTCAAAATCAAATTCCTTTAGGCCTACCATGACTCTGTTTGGCAGATTTACATCATGTCTAAATCAATGCTCAACTTCTGTAACATATAAATGAGTATAACTACAGTACATTTCTTGACTTAAACTTGAATATGTAGCGCCTTGAATACACATGAAGTAATAAATAAAAAATAGTAATAATATTAGTAGTCCTTTGCCCATATGATGGACTGCTAGTTAAGATAAAGATGATCAAATGTAAAATGTTATAATGTTATTCATGGTTGGCGATAATATAGCTACAGTACAGTAATATGTCCAAATCCGGTGTCATGGTAAAACCAGGATCCAGTCTTTATCTCCAGGGTCACATAGCCAGACTAAGACCGGGATTCAATCAAATGCGCATTGGACTCTAAAAGTGAAAGCTTATTTTCTGAGCAGCGATAATAGGGATATATTACATAATATTTGGCATCCCAGTGGACTGGGACTTGACTGCCTTACCTGAACATGACCTCTCCTTGTTCTCCTTATAACAGCCATCGTTCTGGCTGCTCCCCTCTTGGAGAAGGCTGGCTGAGTGCTCCAGACAGGGCAGGTGTTGCCTCTTCTTCTTCTTTGGGAGTTTCTGTTGGGCCATGGCCAGGGAGTAGTACAGGCGGAAGTTATTGACTATGACTGAGACAGGCATTGCTATGGTCAGAATACCTGCCAGAGCACATAGGGCTCCAATTACCTTGCCAGAATAGGTTATGGGGAAAATGTCCCCATAGCCCACGGTTGTCATGGTAACCACCGCCCACCAGAAGCCCTTGGGGATGTTACTGATATAATATTCATCATGGTCAGCCTCTAGGTGCTCTGCGTAGTAGAGCAGGGTGCTGAAGATGAGGATTCCAATAGAGAGGGAGACAGCGAGGAGGCAGAACTCTTGAACGCTGGCCTTTAGTGTGTAGACTAACACACGCATGCCCACCATGTGGCGTGTCAGCTTAAAGATCCTCAGGATCCTCAGAAAGCTCAGCACACGCAGGAAGCCCAGGGCATTACCACTCAGCCCCACCTCCAGGAAGAAGGGCAGGATGGCTACAAAGTCAATGATGTTCAGTATGTTCTTTACAAACACCAGCATGTTGGGGCAGCAGGTGAAACGGACCAGGAACTCAAAGATGAACCACACCACACAGACGCCCTCCACCATGGTCAGAGCAGGATTGTTCACCATCACATAGTATGTCACCTCTTCGGTGTGGTTCCCCTCCAAGACTAGCTTTGTGCGGTTCTCCATCGTGTGGAAGTTCGGATGTGTCTCCAGACAGAAAGCTGTGATGGAGAGGAGGATGAAGAAGAGGGAAACAAACACAATGACCTGCAAAGGACAAGAAGGGGCATCATCTGACTTTGAGTGGATCATGCCATAATGATTAAAGACACAAACAACGCATAATGAACCAGGTTGAAAGTCTGATATATTTGTTTTCTAGGTTTGATTGATGTGTTGGACACACAATGGTATCAAAAAGGCTGTTGATCGGTGAGATTGTTAGGCTTGTGTGTTGTTTCCTAAACTGACTCAATCCCATGGCTGCTGTTTCATATGGAGCCACGTTACCTTCCATTTGAGTGACATGACTAGATGGGAGTTACATGACTTAACTATTCAAGGGTTTAGTTTTTGAAATATTTAGGACTAACGTATTCCTTGCCACCCATTCTAAAACTAACTGCAGCTCTAAAAGTGTTGCAGTGATTTCACTTGCTGTAGTAGCTGACGTGTATAATGTTGAGTCATCCGCATATATAGACACACTGGCTGCCCTGGGGAATTATGTTGGAGAGACTTCCATTAAAGAACACCCTCTGTGTTCTGTTAGACAGGTAACTCTTTATCCACAATATAGCAGGGGGTGTAAAGCTGTCACGCCCTGGCTCTGGGGACTCTGAAATGTTGAGCCAGGGTGTGTAGTTTCTGTGTTATATTTTCTATGTTGATGTTCTAGATCGTTTAGATCTATGTTGGCCAGGGTGGTTCCCAATCAGAGGCAGCTGTATCTCGTTGTCTCTGATTGGGGACCATACTTAGGCAGCCTGTTTGGCACTAGTCGGTGTGGGATCTTGTTCCGTAAAGGTTTGTTTTGTGTAACCTAGGACTTCACGTATCGTTTGTTTGTTGTTTTGTTCGTGTTAAGTACTTAATAAAATGTACGCTTATCACGCTGCGCCTTGGTCCGTATCTTCCGTTAACGATTGTGACAAAAGCCATAACAAATAGGTTTTTCCAGCAGCAGACTATGATCGATAATGTCAAAAGCCGCACTGAAGTCTAACAAAACAGCTCCCACAATATTTGTATTATCAATTTCTCTCAGCCAATCATCAGTCATTTGTGTAAGTGCCGTGCTTGTTGAATGTCCTTCCCCATAAGCGTGCTGAAAGTCTGTTGTCAATTTGTTTACAGTAAAATAGCATTGTATCTGGTCAAATACAATGTTTTCCAAAAGTTTACTAAGGGTTGGTAACAGGCTGATTGGCCTGCTATTTGAGCCAGTAAAGGCGTGCTTTACTATTTTTGGATAGCGTAATGACTTTTGCTTCCCTCCAGGCCTGAGGGCACGCACTTTCTAGTAGGCTTAGATTGAAAATATGGCAAATAGGAGTGGCAATATCGTCCGCTATTATCCTCAGTAATTTTCCATCCAAGTTGTCAGACCCCGGTGGCTTGTCATTGTTGATAGACAACAATCATTTTTCAGCTCTTCCACACTCGCTTTACGGAATTCAAAATTCCAATGCTAGTCTTTCATAATTTGATCAGTTATACTTGGATGTGTAGTGAAGTCATTGGCAATATCAGTGGGTTTTGTGATGAATGAACCATCTGAGTTTGCCTTTTTGCCCAAAATGTAATTGAATGTACTCCAAAGCTTTTTACTATCATTCTATATATCATTTATCTTTGTTTCATAGTATAGTTTCTTCTCTTTTTATTCAGTTTAGCCACTTCATTTCTCAATTTACAGAACGTTTGCCAATCGGTTGTGCAGCAAGACTTATTTACCATTCCTTTAGCCTCATCCCTCTCAAGCATACCATTTTTCTATTCCTCATCAATCCACATGGATTTAACAGTTTGTACAGTCATTTTCTTAATGGGTGCATGCTTATTAGTAACTGGAATAAGCAACTTCATAAATATGTCAAGTGCAGTGTCTGGTTGCTCCTCATTACACACAACAGACCAGCAAATATTCTTTACATCATCAACATAGGAATCACTACAAAACTTATTGTATGACCTCTTATACACTACGTTATGCCCAGCCTTCGGAACTTTGGTTTTCCTAGATATGGCTACTATATTGTCACTACATCCGATGGATTTGGATACTGCTTTAAAGCACATTTCTGCAGCATTAGTAAAGATGTTATCAATACATTTACATTTACATTTACGTCATTTAGCAGACGCTCTTATCCAGAGCGACTTACAAATTGGAGACATGTTGATGATTTCATTTCTGTGCTGTTTGTAACTACCCTGGTAGGTTGACTAATAACCTGAACCAGGTTGCAGGCACTAGTTACAGTTTGAAGCTTTTTCTTGAGTGGGCAGCTTGATGAAAGCCAGTCAATATTTAAAACACCCAGAAAATATACCTCTCTGTTGATGTCACATACATTATCAAGCATTTCACACATATTATCCAGATACTGACTGTTAGCACTTGGTGGTCTATAGCAGCTTCCCACAAGAATGGGCTTTAGGTGAGGCAGATTAACCTGTAGCCATATTACTTCAACAGTATTTAACATGAGATCCTCTCTAACCTTTACAGGAATGTGGTTCTGAATATAAACAGCAACTCCTCCACCATTGGCATTTCTGTCTTTTCTATAGATGTCATAACATGTTTTTGGTTTTCTATTATGATTATCATGGGTATTTAAAAGCATTATGGAGCCTTTCCTGGACACACCCCTTTTTTTCCCCATGTTCCCCTTCCCTTTACCTATTTAGGTTTTTTGCAGTATGGGTCCACTAGGCCTCAGGTATGGCGGTACTGTACAGTTTTTTGACCGCTACGCTACGACTTGGAACTAAGAAAGCTGCTACTAGTCTATATATTTTGTTTACAGTATAAATCTGATCGCTTTGACTTTGTTCATCGATGGAATATAGCCTATGAAATGTCCTTTTGTTTGGAGAATAAATGTTTGTTTTTAGACTATTGGAGCTTTGGAGTCCCTGTTCTGTGGTTGCTTTGGAAACGCGTCTGACTACGGCATCACATACCTGTGGACTCAAGGCAAGTTTGGAATTGGATTACGAATTGCCTTCATACATGTGTACGTGCGTGTCTTGTTATGTGTATGTGTGTCTTTTTAGTCCCCGCTGTTCCATAAGGTGTACCTTTATCTATTTTTTAAATCTGATTCTACTGCTTGCATCAGTTACCTGATGTGGAATAGAGTTCCATGTAGCCATGGCTCTATGTAGTACTGTACACCTGCTATAGTCTGTTCTTGACTTGGGGATCAAAACTACAAGAGGTTAAAGTGGCTTTTTTTCATTGGGAGAGAACAAATAATACACACCTTGGCAGCCATAGACGAGAATGGGTTGTCAAATAGAGCCCATATTTTTGGTTTCCACCTTTTGAAGCAGCTCTGAGAATTTGGTTGGTTGTCTTCAACATCGAATTGATCTGGAAACTCTTCATTGTGGCGCACATTTGAGTCAGATGGCCCGAATGCTGCAAGGGCCTCTTCGGCATCCCTATGTTGGCGGAATGTTATCCAGCAGCAAGGTTCCACTTCTGCCTCGTCGACCTCCCAAAAAGCCAACTCCTCTTCAAAAAGCGGACCACAGACATCTGTTGGACAGTGAAGCTTACCGGTTCTGTAATAATTCAGAACATTGGAGAAAACACCTGGATGTCTGTCGAAGAAGAATTCAGTGAGGTCATGGTCCATCAGTTTAGCCAAACGGGTCCCGGGCAAGCTCTTGAGAGTGCCCATGTAAGTTTCATGACGCATGCCACCAACGTTGATCACAACCTTTTTTGTGACATCCCCTTTTCTGTCCCAGTCTTCCCTTAGATGTGTTTTCGATGAGGCCATGGCGTGGGCCAAAGTATGGCCCTGAGAGGACACACACATTGAGCTGATCATGACTTGGAGTGGAGAGAATAGCACGTCCAGGAATGTTGTTTAGCCTACGGTCCTCGTCTGCCGCAAAAATGTTGAGAATATTCAAAACGTTTTTCAGGCCCAGGGGTAAAGAAAAAACACATTAGGGCAGGCTATCCGCTCTCTCTTTTGGTAGTTCAGTTTGGGAAGAAATCACAAACCGTCCTTTTATTTATTGGTAGTCCCACCCTGTAGGCAGCCCCTGTCTGCATTCCAAAGTGTTTGTCCCCTTCTGTCAGTTAGGGGTACAGCCTAATTTTGGCCTATTGACAAGTTTCTATACAACTTGATTTGATTTCAAAATAAGGAAGACATCCAAACACAAATCTGTGGCAAAGAACAACCTCACAATATGGAAGACAGTTTTAAGGCAGTTTCTCCATCAGTGAACAACTCCTGTCACTGTCACCTTTACTGTAAGCATTAACAGTATATAATAATAGGAAAATTAATAGGACATTAATTGAAGTACAAATGGTTAAAAAAAACTTTTAAAGTTCCTTGATCTTTAACATTGACTAAACTTTAAATCTTTGAAAAGTGCAACTGTAAAGCAGTAACTATTGGACTAATGACCCCATCCCCTCATGTCCTCCTGCTGTATAAGGGACATGACACTGCCCTCTGGTGTGAAATAGTATGGATGTTTTTCCAAATATATAGCCAGCTAGGAATATGGGACCAAATATAGTCCGAAAAATATGTAATAAAAGGTGTATAAAAACAATAACACTTTAGCACTTTATTCGCTTGATTTTATTTTTATAAAAATTGTATGAAAAATGTTTAAATGTTTCCGTAGATATTACAAATATGTCGATATTACAAATGTAAAGAAAGTACAAGCTGATTTTAGAGGTTTAGAGGTTTACAAGCGAATAAAACCAAGATAAGATCCCCCAAAACCTAACAGCAATCTAAAGCCTTTTACCTGTTATCCAGGATGTATATAGCTTTATTTTCTACTTCTATCACAGTCTACTCTTTCTGGTGTTTTATTTTCTATATAGGGTTGCAAAAACATGGTCACTTTCCCAAGATTCCCAGGGTTTCCAGAAATCCTGTTTGGAGGATTGTGGATTTCCTGCGTATTCCCCGCTGATTCCGGGAATCATCCAAGCTGGATTTCTGGCAAACGGGGAATTAGGGGAAAGTTACCGGATTTTTGCAACCCTATCTCTATCTCATAGTTTTACTGCCATGGTTAGAATCTTTCATCCCTCAGATTACATAGTGTGATGCAACTCTCCTCCCCAAGCCAGAACCCTGGGTAGAGGGGTTCAGTGAATGTGAATTTCTTGGTTCTGTAGAGGAACTTCATCCTATCTGAGACTTCATAAAACGCTATGGTGCCCTCCTTAAATTTCAGGTAAACCCCTATTCTGCACTGGCTGGGGGTTGCACTGAGTCTAATACCGTCACTGTTGTGGCACACAGAATAGCCTTTAGAACGGTCAAGGCTCCAGGATTGGTCACTGCCCCCAAAAGCGGATGTCTTAGAGAGTGATTTTCTGTCTATGCCCCAGTAGGCCAGGGCAATCTCAGCCTTTTGCCCGACCACCTCCACCTCCCAGTAGCAGTGCTCAGCTTTAAGCCCCTCCCTGCACAGCACCTGGCGACGGTATGTAAACCTCTCAGGGTGAGGTTGGACTGGCTCCTTCTGCTTTTTAGCATCCCATTTCACCATTCTGCCCTCCTCTGAGAAGGAGAGGTCCTTGTGGGCAGTGTTGAGGTCCAGAGTGAGCTCGCAGGCATCTGAAGGATCAAAGAGGATCGTAAAATTATGTTAATGATCATGTTCATAGAAAGCCAGTATGAAGGTTAGCCCTCAGGCTAGAATGTAAGGCATACGTTTCAGCCTTGATGAAGGGATAAGGCCGAAACGTAAGCTCTTTTGAAAACTTATTTTTGCACTTTCACTTTTTGTATTCTTTTGAGCATGGTATAAATTAATGATATAATTTTTGCATCTTGGCCTCCTTGGGATATTCCTCTTCATGGTATTGAGTGCGAGTACTTTTTTAACTCTACATGATCATGTTCAAACAGCATTCTCATGAGGTTGGTTCTCATTATTATCATTCTGTTTTATAGGTTGAGTGAAGTTTAGATGCGTTACATAAAGTACATAGGACTCACACTGTAGAAATTCTGTTCTGGTCGTAGGCTCTAGGGTCTGTGCAGCACTGGTAACTGTGTAGGTCAGGAGAAAGGCCAAACAGACGTAATATGTAATAAATCATGCTCAGTTGTGGTTCAAGTTCTTGTTAATTATTAAAGGTCAAGTAAACTGTGACTGATTTTCTGAAACACTCGGGATAACACACAAAAAGAAGGATAACATTCACCTGGAAGCTGTTCAGGTCTGACTCTATGGTCTGGAGACTGGGAACCTCCATTACCAGCCACTGTTGAGACAGATCATATAAAATATATTTCTTTGTCTCTCTCTCTTTGTCTCTCTCTCTTTGTCTCTCTCTCTTTGTCTCTGTCTGTCTGTCTGTCTGTCTGTCTGTCTGTCTGTCTGTCTGTCTGTGGCATTCCTCCCTTCAACTGACCAGTTTGAGACACTGTACTGATTTCCTCCTCAGAGAAAGCCTCCAGTCGATTCCCAAACTCTGAGACAGCACTCCTTAAGGCCTCAAAGGGGAGGAGTGCATCCGCCGAGACACTGGACAAGTCAGGGGGCTCTGGAAGGTTAGAGAGAGAGGGCCATCTCTTTTTTCATGATAGAGAGGGAGATAGAGAGACATGAAAATGAAGGCGTTATCATTATTAGTCGTGAAAATTTACCATGTCATCATGCACACAGTTGTAAACCTCAGAACCAGATCCTACCTCTATCTACTACAGCCCGTGATCAGTAGCAGTGTGTGACTATGACAGACAAATTGAGAAGAAAAAAATCCAGAAAATCACATTGTAGGATTTTTAATGAATTTATTTGCAAATTATGGTGGAAAATAAGTATTTGGTCACCTACAAACAAGCAAGATTTCTGGCTCTCACAGACCTGTAACTTCTTCTTTAAGAGGCTCCTCTGTCCTCCACTCGTTACCTGTATTAATGGCACCTGTTTGAACTTGTTATCAGTATAAAAGACACCTGTCCACAACCTCAAACAGTCACACTCCAAACTCCACTATGGCCAAGACCAAAGAGCTGTCAAAGGACACCAGAAACAAAATTGTAGACCTGCACAAGGCTGGGAAGACTGAATCTGCAATAGGTAAGCAGCTTGGTTTGAAGAAATCAACTGTGGGAGCAATTATTAGGAAATGGAAGACATACAAGACCACTGATAATCTCCCTCGATCTGGGGCTCCATGCAAGATCTCACCCCGTGGGGTCAAAATGATCACAAGAACGGTGAGCAAAAATCCCAGAACCACACGGGGGGACCTAGTGAATGACCTGCAGAGAGCTGGGACCAAAGTAACAAAGCCTACCATCAGTAACACACTACGTCGCCAGGGACTCAAATCCTGCAGTGCCAGACGTGTCCCCCTGCTTAAGCCAGTACATGTCCAGGCCCGTCTGAAGTTTGCTAGAGTGCATTTGGATGATCCAGAAGAGGATTGGGAGAATGTCATATGGTCAGATGAAACCAAAATAGAACTTTTTGGTAAAAACTCAACTCGTCGTGTTTGGAGGACAAAGAATGCTGAGTTGCATCCAAAGAACACCATACCTACTGTGAAGCATGGGGGTGGAAACATCTTGCTTTGGGGCTGTTTTTCTGCAAAGGGACCAGGACGACTGATCCGTGTAAAGGAAAGAATGAATGGGGCCATGTATCGTGAGATTTTGAGTGAAAACCTCCTTCCATCAGCAAGGGCATTGAAGATGAAACGTGGCTGGGTCTTTCAGCATGACAATGATCCCAAACACACCGCCCGGGCAACGAAGGAGTGGCTTCGTAAGAAGCATTTCAAGGTCCTGGAGTGGCCTAGCCAGTCTCCAGATCTCAACCCCATAGAAAATCTTTGGAGGGAGTTGAAAGTCTGCATGTCAGTGACAGCCCCAAAACATCACTGCTCTAGAGGAGATCTGCATGGAGGAATGGGCCAAAATACCAGCAACAGTGTGTGAAAACCTTGTGAAGACTTACAGAAAACGTTTGACCTGTGTCATTGCCAACAAAGGGTATATAACAAAGTATTGAGAAACTTTTGTTATTGACCAAATACTTATTTTCCACCATAATTATAATTTGCAAATAAATTCATTAAAAATCCTACAATGTGATTTTCTGGATTTTTTTTTCTAATTTTGTCTGTCATAGTTGACGTGTACATATGATGAAAATTACAGGCCTCTCTCATCTTTTTAAGTGGGAGAACTTGCACAATTGGTGGCTGACTAAATACTTTTTTGCCCACTGTACCTGACCTACAGCGTGGTCAAGCAAGTTCATGTTTCCGAAAATGTCTGACCACTAAACAACTATTGATTTCGAACCACAGAGTTACCGCAAGTCGCAAAGAAAACAGGAGCTGCCTCCACTATTCCAGCACCATTTCAACTTCAACATTTCAACATAATCAAATCACCTCTGCTTAGTCTAATACAGTGACAACTAAAAGATGCCAAAAACAATTTAGTCCAATCAACTTAAGCTAAATATGATGTGGCTGTCCATGGTTCTGATTTCTGTGTGTGTGTGTGTGTGTGTGCACGTTCGTGCAAGTAGAAAAACATGTTGACTCACCCTACTTGTAGAGAAAAGCCAATGCCATCCTCCTCTCTTTCATGTTGATGAAACGGTCTATCACTCTGTCATACAGTAAGCGCTTTTATTTTTTGTTGTCCTAGGCTACCTGGCTAAAATGTTGCTCGCTAGCCTAACTTCCATTCATCGGCAACATTAGCTAGTTAACCTTAGCCTTCCACATCTAGCTACATATTTAACTTACATCCTCTCAGGCCAGAGGCACAACAATGTATGAATTAATGGTTGGATCAGAATTGCTGTTATAATCATTGGCCAGTAGGGAGAATTAGGTAAAACTACAAGTCAAAATCCCTATCTCCATCCATGGCTTTTTTAGGAAAGGGCCAATTTTAGCTAGCTAGCTAGATAGCCACCAGAGGACACCAACACAACGAGATACTGTAGTGTCGGTTATTTGCAGTTGTTGCCGTCAATCAAGGAGTCTGCTTAAGCTGCACCGTGTTCAAAGGCTTTTATTAAAATCACGAGGTTACAGCATAAGTTACAGACACGCGAAGTCCGGAGAAGCAATCCCAAATGAATCTCAATGCTTTCTGCCCCTCCGTTTTTTTTCCCCCAGTATATATAACCTCCCAAAATGTGGGTGGCTCCCTCTACTGTCCAATCCCCGTGTCTACACCACACTTCCTGTCTGTTGTATGTGGCGTTACACTAAAACATTCCCTCTTGATACCAAAATCAACATTCTTTCAGTTTCACTCAAAAAGACATTTAACACCATCATAATCTTAATACACTACAATACAACAATTCAAGCAATTCAAGTTCTGTCAATGACGTGTGCTCTCAATGGGATTTGATAGGAGTGATGCCAAAATCCAAGCTTTTTTTGGTGCGCCAGGACCATTCACAGTTGAGCTCAACGCTGATTGGCTAATGTTGTATACTTGTTTTATCAAGGGAGGCCAAATGCTTGCTGGCTTCCCTTGCTTTCAATGCTACTGGCGACAACAATGTCATACTCATTTGGACCAGACAGCATCAGATAGATGGCCTACAAGCAGAGACACAGAGGGGCGCTGTTTCGCTCGCTCGGATGCTTTCTCCTGTGAGATACATTCAGCCTCTTGCGAATGAAGGAAAATTATGAAACACAGAGAGACGAAAGGTACATTATTTTATGTTTTTTTATTGGTCCATTTTGGGGGGGAAGCCTGGCTTCCCTTGGCATCCATGAATACACACCACTGCCTGTGATATAACTAACCATACCTGGAGGAAGTCGATATCATCATCTGTCTGCTCCAGCTGCTCCAGCTCAGCGTCTCTCCTCTTCAGGGCAGCCATGTCTTTCTCCAGGCTGCACAGGGAGCTCTCAACCTGAGCCACTGCAGCTGTCTCCTGGGCCAATATCAACTCTCTCACTGTGGAGTAGTGCCTCTGGAGGGAGTCGATCAGCCCAGAGAGGACGCCCTCACAGTGCTCCTCAGCAGCCCTAACACCTTCCTGTTACACATACAGTCAGGGACAGACTTCCTGTTACACATACAGTCAGGGACAGACTTCCTGTTACACATACAGTCAGGGACAGACTTAGTGATTTACATTTGTTTTTCATTTCAGGAAATTTTGAAATAGGCCATATAAAGTTAACACATTGGCATTACACATCAGCCTCAAGGCCTTCGTCAGAGCTTTTGTGAGTGTTTTTAATTTGCACCCTTATGTTGACATTACTCCAACCCCATGCAGTGCATTGAATGGATTTTATTTTATTTATTTATTTTATTTATTTAACCAGGTAAGCCAGTTGAGAACAAGTTCTCATTTACAACTGCGACCTGGCCAAGATAAAGCAAAGCAGTGTGATAAAAACAACAACACAGAGTTACATATGGGGTAAAACAAAACATAAAGTCAAAAATACAACAGAAAATATATATACAGTGTGTTCGAATGTAGCAAGTTATGGAGGTAAGGCAATACAGTTGAAGTCGGAAGTTTACATACACCTTAGCCAAATATATTTAAACTCAGTTTTTCACAATTCCTGACATTTAATCCTAGTAAGAATTCCCTAACTTAGGATCACCACTTTATTTTAAAAATGTGTAATGTCAGAATAATAGTAGAGAGAATGATTTATTTCAGCTTTTAATTCTTTCATCACATTTCAGTGGGTCAGAAGATTACATACACTCAATTAGTATTTGGTAGCATTGCCTTTAAATTGTTTAACTTGGGTCAAATGTTTTCGGGTAGCCTTCCACAAGCTTCCCACAATAAGTTGGGTGAATTTTGGCCCATTCCTTAAGACAGAGCTGGTGTAACTGAGTCAGGTTTGTAGGCCTCCTTGCTCGCACACGCTTTTTCAGTTCTGCCCACACATTTTCTATAGGATTGAGGTCAGGGCTTTGTGATGACCACTCCAATACGTTGACTTTGTTGTCCTTAAGCCATTTTGCCACAACTTTGGAAGTATGCTTGGGTTCATTGTCCATTTGGAAGACCCATTTGCGACCAAAAACACTCACAAAAGCTCTGACGAAGGCCTTGAGGCCGATACGTAAAGCTTAATAAAGAGCAGTGATACTAGCAAGAGCAGTGTGAATGATTCTCTCATGTTATTCAATTGTTACCGTGCACCTGCAACAAAGACGCTGTAGCTCAAATGTGCCTTTAGAATTTCGAAACACATTGGCATAAAAAAGCTGGGGCAGTACACACCCATGAGTTAGGAAGGAGACTCTGTGGCCTTGCTGCTATGAGTTACTATTATAGTTGGTTTAGTCCAGAGAGCATTGTAAATAACTATATTCACTTCCTTCTCTGATCTACTGTATACCCACCTTAACCCTCTTTACGTTCTTTCTCAGGTCCTTCTGCTCCTGTTCTCTCATATTGATCCTCAGCTTGGATTCTTTCTTAATGTCCTGGAGCTGTTCCTGTGGAGGGCAAATTGATCTACAGATTAAATATTTACAAGGTCAAACCAATAATAACCTCATAACTCCTTGAATGCACAAGGTAATGAAGTGTTATTTATTACTTATTTCAATTGAATCAATAAGTGATCAACTGTGCATAATACACATAACCTTTGGGATACTTGAAACGCCAGATTTGATATAAAGGTCAGTACCTGCTTCCTTTTCCGTCCCTCATTCGCCAACACATTGTTGTGTGCTCTGTGCTCAACCAGGGCGCATAGAGGGCAGATGCATTGCTCATCATCACAGCAGTAAACCTCCAGCAGTCTGTCATGTATAGGACATATTCTGCTCTTCAGTGCCTCTGGGGCTCCAGTGGTTCTGGGTATCTTCATGGGTCTGGCCCCACCCAGCGCATGACTGGGCGAAGGGCCTGCCTCCTGACTGGCTTCAACAGGTCTGCGCTTACCTCCAGCACCCACATTATTTCTACACTTGGACTTCTCCATTCCTTCCACCATTTCAGCCAGAGCAATGTTCTTGATCAGGTTAGGCCTCAGGTGAAAGGAGTATTGGCATTCAGGGCAGCTGCAGAAACGATTACCCTTTTCTTCATTGTCCCAGAAGACTTGGATGCAGAGCATGCAGAAACTGTGTCCACAGGGAATAGCAGCTGGAGTCCTGAGCACCTCCTGGCAGAGTGGACAGCTGAGGTGGTCCTTCCTGACAGATATACGAGATACAGCCATATCTGAGAACAAACTGGAACACGTCTGTCTTTCACTTCCACCAGAAAGACATTAGTTTCGATTCTGTGAATAGGCACGCCTTGTGGTTTCATGGTATGCTTGTGAGAGCTGAGAGGGAGTGGTGAGTCTGGACTGAAGCCAAAGGGGGGGATTTCAAATCCTTCAAGAGAGTACTGAAAGAGCAAGTAAATCAAGACGTTGTTCATTGACAAAAAGCTAAGTCTTATTCCATTAAATCATTGTGTATAAATAAAGCAAAAAAACAACAACATTAGAGTAAGAGGGAGTATCATTTTAATACAGTATTTATAGTCATACAATGCAAAACAGACCGACATGATAAATACACGTTTTTTCCATCCGATGTTATAATAAAATTTCCCCATTTTAGATTCTCTCTTCAATAACCATTCTAATAATCAGGCCGATGTGGAGTCTGCTTACCAGACCTTTCCATTCTGTAATTCACTACCTTAGTTAAACCACGTAAGAGAGCAGCAGAAGGGTTCTGGAAACCTTGGTTTACAACCGGTCTCAAAAAATCCTCAGTTTAAAAAACAAGTTGTATAAAACATAACTCACAAATCCCTTTCCCCTGAATTCTGCAAATTACAAAAAGTATGAGAACAAATTTACTCACCTACTTCAGATATCCCCAAAAATATATTTTACTAACACATCCAAGAATCCTTAAATAATATAAAGTAAACTTGGAAAATCATCAATCAACTGTTGAATAAGAAAAAGGCATCTACAACTATTCCATCTCAATTTATTTGTTGGAAATAAGACATAGTGATGTTATTTCATGTGAATTTAATAACTTTTTTGTGAATGTGGGTTCCTCTGTCAAATAAAATTTAGAAAACTGATGATAATCCCTTGGATTACATTAAGTGGCATTTCCCTTCTCTGCTTCAGTTTGATCCTTCTGATGTAATGGAGGTAATTGGTAACAAAGATATCAGCAGCAGGTCATGACTAGATTGGTGCCTCTTTGGTGATATCAGTGTCTTCCTCGATTACTGAGCATCTAAGGTATATCTTCACCAAATCAATGCAAACTGGTATTGTTCCTAAAGATTTGAAAATTGCCAAAGTTATCCCCCTCTATACAGTTGAAGTCAGAAGTTTACATACACCTTAGCCAAATACATTTAAACTCAGTTTTTCACAATTCCTGACATTTAGTCCTAGTAAGAATTACCTGTCTTAGGCCAGTTAGGATCACCACTTTATTTTAAGAATGTGAAATGTCAGAATAATAGTAGAGAGAATTATTTATTTCAGCTTTTATTTATTTCATCACATTCCCATTGGGTCAGAAGTTTACATACACTCAATTAGTATTTGGTAGCATTGCCTTTAGAATTGTTTAACTTGGGTCAAACATTTCAGGTAGCCTTCCACAAGCTTCCCACAATAAATTGGGTGAATGTTGGCCCATTCCTCATGACAGAGCTGGTGTAACTGAGTCAGGTTTGTAGGCCTCCTTGCTCGCACACGCCTTTTCAGTTCTGCCCACACATTTTCTATAGGATTGAGGTCAGGGCTTTATGATGGCCACTCCAATACCTTGACTGTTGTCCTTAAGCCATTTTGCCACAACTTTGGAAGTATGCTTGGGGTCATTGTCCATTTGGAAGACCCATTTGCGACCAAGCTTTACCTACCTGACTGATGTCTTGAGATGTTGCTTCAATATATCCACATAATTTTCCTTCCTCATGATGCCATCGATTTTGTGAAGTGCACCAGTCCTTCCTGCAGCAAAGCACCCCCACAGCATGATGCTGCCACCCCCGTGCTACACGGTTGGGATGGTGTTCTTCGGCTTGCAAACACCCCCCTTTTTCCTCCAAACATAACGATGGTCATTATGGCCAAACAGTTCTATTTTTGTTTCATCAGACCAGAGGACATTTCTCCAAAAAGTACAATTTTTGTCCCCATGTGCAGTTGCAAACCGTAGTCTGGCTATTTTATGGCGGTTTTGGAGCAGTGGCTTCTTCCTTGCTGAGCGGTCTTTCAGGTTATGTCGATATAGGACTCGTTTTACTGTGGATATGGATACTTTTGTACCCGTTTCCTCCAGCATCTTCACAAGGTCCTTTGCTGTTATTCTGGGATTGATTTGAACTTTTGGCACCAAAGTATCTCTAGGAGACAGAACGCGTCTCCTTCCTGAGCGGTATGACGGCTGCGTGGTCCCATGGTGTTTATACTTGCATACTATTGTTTGTACAGATGAACGTGGTACCTTCAGGCATTTGGAAATTGCTCCCAAGGATGAACCAGACTTGTGGAGGTCTACAATTATTTTTCTGAGGTCTTGGCGGATTTCTTTTGATTTTCCCATGATGTCATGCAAAGAGGCACTGAGTTTGAAGGTAGGCCTTGAAATACATCCACAGGTACACCTCCAATTGACTCAAATGATGTCAATTAGTCTATCAGAAGCTTCTAAAGCCATGACATCATTTTCTGGAATTTTCCAAGCTGTTTAAAGGCACAGTCAACTTAGTGCATGTAAACTTCTGACCCACAGGAATTGTGATACAGTGAATTATAAGTGAAATAATCTGTCTGTAAACAATTGTTGGAAAGATTACTTGTGTCATGCACAAAGTAGATGTCCTAACTGACTTGCCAAAACTATAGTTTGTTAACAAGAAATTTGTGGAGTGGTTGAAAACTGAGTTTTAATGACTCCAACCTAAGTGTATGTAAACTTCCGACTTCAACTGTAAATCTGGGGATCCAAGATCTTTTACAATTTATCACCCAATATCTGTACTACCATGTCTTTCTAAAATCCTAGAAAAATTGGTGTATAAGAGAATGTTGAAACATTTAGATCAACACTGTATTCCTATGAGCACCAATATGGTTCTCATAAAAACTACTCCACAGATATGTCTCTTTTGCAACTTGTGGATAAAATCTTTACAGCCCTTAACAACAATGAATACACTCTTGGCAACTTTTTAGATTAATCCAAAGCGTTTGACACGGTTGATCATGAAATATTACTTTCTAAATTGCATTAAGGTTTTATGATTATACATGTAATTGGTTATATCGTTATATTTATGATAGAGAACAATTTGTTCATACAAACGGCTGTGCATCTACCAGGGCCAAGATATCCTGTGGCGTGCCTTAGGGTTCGATAATTGGACCTTTGTTATTCCTAATCTATATCAATGACCTTGCTGCTGTGTCTTCTACCGTACTTCCCATTCTCTTTGCTGATGATACCAATTAGATTTTATCACACAATAATTTTTATTCACAAATTAATGAAGATTACTCAGGAATGGCCACATTTTCTGAAATGGTTCCAGATAAACAAATTATCTTTAAATGTAAAAAAATCCAACTTTATTGTATCCACTAGTAAGAATAAGAAATATTGCAAAAAACACTTTTTTTAAAGAGCCAGAATCTCAATTGGTGGGAATGAAACGGAACAAGTCACATCCACTAGATTCCTCTGAGTTCTAATTGATGAAATGTTATCCTGGAAATATCATATTCAATTTGTCTGTAGCAAAGTGATGAAATCTGTTGATATCATCAGAAAGATTCGTGATTTGGTTCATCAGGCTTGCTTCCTAACTCTATACTATAGCTTAATTTACCCATATCTAATTTACTGTAATATTGTCTGGGCCAGTACATATGCCTCCTACCTACACAAATTACTCATCATACAAAATAAATTTGCAAGATTAGCCAACATCTTCTAATTACCTGGCTCCATCTGCACCGGTTTAAGAAACTCAATATCTTGTCTATTTACGAAATCAAGCTACGCCAATTATGCACTTTCATCTACATATACCTCCCAGACAGTTTACCTTTCAATGGATTCTTCCAGGTTAATTCTGAAATCCATCTATATAACCTTCACCCTCCCCACTGCCCCACCGCAATCAGATACAGAGGTACCATACTCTGGAATTCTTATGTTCACATTGCCAAAACCTCATCATCCCTCAATAACTTCAAGCAAAGACTGGGGGTCAGCCTGATGAACCAAACTACCCAATAATCCCCTCCATGTAGCCTAACTCTCACACACACACATAGTCAAACATGGGTTTTCTTGTATAATGAGTATATCATGTTCAATTATAATTAATATGCTTTGTTTAACTGATTGAACATACTTTTTTTTTTTTGGTACTTAGATTTGTGCTGTGGTTTTCATATAAGCCCTTTTGGGCTTCCAACCTCACCTGCACACAGTTTTTACCAGTTTTTTTCTTTAATCTGTACTGTTTTGTCTTTCACTTCTTTTCTTTGGTGCGAATAAATAAAACCAAAGACAAAAAAAACAATAGATGCTGCAAATTAGTATAAGCACAATGCAACTGTAAAATTTTCTTAAAACTGAGGAGTTAGCAGGTGGGCAAAATCATTCCCTTAAGTAAAAAAAAACCTGTTAGCTAGTGAAGTGTGAGTGAGAAACACAAATAACAGCTTACTTTCTTTCCTCACTCTCTCAAACATACTGTGCAGTCACACGCACCCACAAAACTAAGGTTTATTTCCCAAGTTCTCATCCAATGAGGTTGTGTAGTGCGCCAGCACGTGTTCCTGTTGCTTTAGGTTAGAACATTAGGCTGTAAATTCCATTAAACTGTCTTAATACCAAAGTAAATTGCCTCCACCAGGGTTGATAGAGCTGTGTGATTCATACAAGCCAACGGTCACTCCGTGAGTATAATAATAATGGAACAATGGAACATCAAAAGCCTGGTCAACAGGTTATATCAGTAACCATAAGACATACACATACTGTACACAAACTCAAGCAACCCTTCCCTCACAATCTCTCTCTTCCACACACGCACACATTTTATTTTGCACTTGTTCTTAAGGGTTATCATACTGTACTATAGTGCTTGAACAGGTTCCCTTGGAGAGTTCAACAATGAGCTTGATGCCTTGATAAGTTCCTTTCCTGAGGATGGCTCACCCCTCACAGTTCTGGGTAACTTTAAACTCCCTACGTCTGCCTTTGACTCATTTCTCTCTGCCTCCTTCTTTCCACTCCTTTCCTCTTTTGACCTCACCCTCTCACCATCCCCCCCTACTCACAAGACAGGCAATACGCTTGACCTCATCTTTACTAGATGCTGTTCTTCTACTAATCTCACTGCAACTCCCCTCCAAGTCTCCGACCACTACTTTGTATCCTTTTCTCTCTCGCTCTCCTCCAACACTACTCACTCTGCCCCTACTCAGATGGTAATGTGCCGTCGCAACCCTCGCTCTCTCTCTCCCGCTACTCTCTCCTCTTCCATCCCATCATCTCTTCCCTCTGCTAAATCCTTCTCCCTCCGATCTCCTGATTCTGCCTCCTCAACCCTCCTCTCCTCCCTTTCTGCATCTTTTGACTCTCTATGTCCCCTATCCTCCCGGCCAGCTCGGTCCTCCCCTCCTGCTGTAGCTCAGTTGGTAGAGCATGGCACTTGCAACGCCAGGGTTGTGGGTTCAATTCCCACGGGGGGCCAGTATGAAAAAATGTATGCACTCACTAACTGTAAGTCGCTCTGGATAAGAGCGTCTGCTAAATGACTAAAATCTCTTGAAGGGCAGAGTACTGGTCCGACAGCCAGGAGAGTGGCACCATGGCACGTTGGGTGTGTGGAGTTGTGTGTAAGGAACAGGATACAAAGGGTTTACATCCCCAACCATGGAGGGTGGACAACGCTAATAAAGTCTATAGCACTCTGTAAAGGTCCAGTTGAAAACTAGAAAAGGTTCTACATGGGGTGAATCAAGACCTGGTTTACCTTGGCCGTGAGTGACACCACTCTCCAAATGGGATATGCAAAAAATACTTTCCCATTTCGCCACACACTTGTACAGGTTACACACTTGTACATGTGTGAAACAGGACAAATACACGTCTATTTGCCCTTTTCAGTTGTCTAGTGCCTGGATTCAGGTATTATAAATGATTGGTCCAACTGTGCAGGGATAATGCTAATGCACAAGGTCCACATTTAGGTGACTTTGCTGTTGACCCTCTACCTCCAAAATATCCCTTACTGACTGTTACTCCTCTTTACTGACTGTTATTCCTCTCTGCATGAGGTGACAATACATGGATCATGTTTGTTATGGGGACTCTTGTCTGCATAATTTTCAGAACCAAATCCAGTGCTCTATGAATGCTGTAAAAGGTATGCTTTTTCAGCACTTAAAGATGTGGAGATGTAGACTAGTGTTGCCACCTTGGGAGGTGTGTTCAGAAAACCTCCCTATAGCACCACCTACCACCACCCAGCCCTAGCCCTGTTATCATTGCAGAAGCTCCTCCCAGGATATGGGCTTGGAGAAGACTTCTCGCTCTAGCCAGAGGTCATAGTTCATCTGGAAATCCTCCGGCAGGTCGACGCGCTGTCCCAGAACGCTCTGCAGGCAGTTGTCCACGGGCAGGAAGTCAGGGTTGCTCTGGTTCTTGTCGTAGCGGCGGCTGTTGAAGCGCTCAATGTTGGCGCGCAGAGCACACTCCTCTGCCTGGAAGTCCCAGGGCCGCGCATCCAGGTCTGCTGTCAAAGAAACATAGAAGCTCAATACTTGGGGTTCTCTTTTTAACCTGACATACCCTGAGCTACATAGGGTGCTTAAATTTAACAGTTCACAGCCATTGTGGGGAAATGTTTCACAGTTAAGTCTGTGATAAGAGATATGAGGCTCCCAATCATCATATCAATCACTGACTGAAAAACTCAATGGACACTTTCCGGGTTGATTTTGGTGTTGACAGCGTTACTCACCGTTACCGTAGGCCCAGTCGTCATTGAGGCGATGGCGGACCTTCTGGTATATGGCAGACATGGTCTTCATGTTGCTCTTCCTCCACTGGCGGCCCAGGTACTTGGTTTGCACTTTGAGCAGCTTGAGGACGTACAGCTGCATCATGGCCTGTTTGACCTTCAGCGCCCTCTTCAGGATGGGAGCAGATTTGAACACCACCAGCATCTGACAGAGAGAAGTGCGAGGTATGCAATTATGATCTAATAGAATCCAAAACTGATCTCTGTCCTAGTGAATAAGAGTAACTGTATTGTTTTGGGTGGGTGGGTCTCTCCCTCACCATGGTTCTGGAGTGCTTCCACTTGGTCAGCTTGTTGAGGATCCTCAACAGGTTGATACAGGAGAACAGGTTCCTCCAGCAGAACTGGTTGTTGTCGCCAGCCTCCTGTATAACATAGACAAACCAGCCATTGGGTACCAACACCTCACCTCCAACCTTAGACTACTGTAACATTTCCATTAGGTACCCTGGTGTTATCCCACCCTTCTACAAATACATTGCCTAAGTGTTTGAGTTCAGATATTACAATCGGTATTTCAATTCTGTGAGGGATGGAGTGTGAAACGTACCAAACTCTCTGCAGTAAGTTCAGGGAGCTCATGCACCACACAGTAAGGGAAGTCCAGCACAGAAATACTGCCGGAAAGAGAATGAGAGGTGATTACTAAAAGGGTCACAGATAATCAGGGACTTGGAATGGCTAAAATTCCCCAACGTACCTGTTCTTGGCTGTAATGTAAGACATGATGTTCTGGTTGAAGAACTTGAGAATGAGAGGAATACAGTTGGCAAACACCAGGTGCTGAGCCATGTACTCAAACTGTAAAAAACAGCAACACAAGAAACAGAAGGGTAAGGCAAGGGAAGGCCACTCACAAGTTTATGGTGCTTGTGAGAAATGACCACTCCTATTAAGTGGTCATTATGTGGTCCTCTGTAGCTCAGCTGGTAGAGCACGGCGCTTGTAACACCAAGGTAGTGGGTTCGATCCCCGGGACCACCCATACACAAAAATGTATGCACGCATGACTGTAAGTCGCTTTGGATAAAAGCGTCTGCTAAATGGCATATTATTTATTTATTTTAAGTGGTTATCAATACTTGGTAGATGAGGCTAATTCAGGGTTTGAGAGAGTTTGCCTGTGTGTGGTGGTAGTGGTTGAGTGTGGGTTGCCAGTACCTGGTAGACGTGGTTGAGTTTGAAGTGTTTGAGAAGCAGCAGCAGGATGGCAGAGATGGCCTTAACAATGATCTCCTTGTGGCGGTTAACATCCACACCAAGCTTCATGCTCTGGAGCACCGTGGTCCTGCAGATACAGTATTAAAGTAATCAAACAATTTCAGTTGGAACTCAACGAAACACAGCTCCCTTTCAAATCAAACAGTTGACTCACGGCATCTCCTCAGGCAGCACATCTGCCAGGATGTTGATGGAGTCTGTCTTGGCCTTGGAGGTGGGGGCAGCCGCCAGCAGGATCTTCAGCAGGGCAATCTGAGAGGGAGAAGTGTCACAGGTCAATTCTGCAAAGGGTTAGAGGTCATAGAAATGGACTGGAGACCTGGGTTCAGTATACAAGAGGAGCAGAACACTCACCATGTACTGAGGCAAGCTGGGAAGAATGCCCTGGTATAGCAGCTCAGTGGAGCACATCTCCACATCCTCTTCCCCCTATAAACAAACACAAAACATGGAAGAGAATACTTTTTTAATTAAACACATTGCCCTTTCTCTAGGACAGTGATATTCCAACATATATACCAGTGATATGCATTGGCACTCACCCCTGACAGTGGAGTTTTCTGAAACTCATCCTCCTTGGCAATCTGAATCTCAGCTATAGAGATGTACTTATGCTGCAAGGAAATAGAAACAACTGTCATTGTAAAGTATTCCCACTACCAGTGGTGCTGTCCCTCTCATCACAGCTCACTCCACCCAACCCCCGACAGTGCCAGAGAGACTGGGGGTTAACACTATAGAACCGCTAAAGCTCATGATGTTAATTCTTTTATTACTGCCATTTTTTTAAGTCATGCCCCCTCCGTCCTTGACTTTTCCTAAATAAATCTATAACACACTGTTGTTAGAATCTTAATTCACAAACAGAACTGGAGTTATAACCAGTTTTAGGAGCGCATGTCATTTTTTGAATGTTTTTCTCCCGTTCCCACTCCTTCTCCCGACAGTAGGGTCTGCTCCACTCCTCCCGACAGTGGGGCCTGCTCCACTCCTTCTCCCGACAGTAGGGTCTGCTCCACTCCTTCTCCCGACAGTAGGGTCTGCTCCACTCCTTCTCCCGACAGTAGGGTCTGCTCCACTCCTTCTCCCGACAGTAGGGTCTGCTCCACTCCTTCTCCCGACAGTAGGGTCTGCTCCACTCCTTCTCCCGACAGTAGGGTCTGCTCCACTCCTTCTCCCGACAGTAGGGTCTGCTCCACTCCTTCTCCCGACAGAAGGGTCTGCTCCACTCCTTCTCCCGACAGTAGGGTCTGCTCCACTCCTTCTCCCGACAGTAGGGTCTGCTCCACTCCTTCTCCCGACAGTAGGGTCTGCTCCACTCCTTCTCCCGACAGTAGGGTCTGCTCCACTCCTTCTCCCGACAGTAGGGTCTGCTCCACTCCTTCTTCCGACAGTAGGGTCTGCTCCACTCCTTCTCCCGACAGTAGGGTCTTTTCCACATGAAGGTGCCGTTGATAATCACACTAATAATTGCCTCGAAACTGAACCTAAACTATACTGAAACTAATTTTAACATATAACAGATGAAATAAATGAAGTAAAGTATGATGGGTAGAAAGGGGGAAAAATGGGTGAGTTGATGAGCGAGGGGAAGCGAATGAATAATAATTACAGTGGGGGGGAAAGTATTTAGTCAGCCACCAATTGTGCAAGTTCTCCCACTTAAAAAGATGAGAGAGGCCTGTAATTTTCATCATAGGTACACGTCAACTATGACAGACAAAATGAGGAAAAAAAATCCAGAAAATCACATTGTAGGATTTTAATGAATTTATTTGCAAATTATGGTGGAAAATAAGTATTTGGTCAATAACTAAAGTTTCTCAATACTTTGTTATATACCCTTTGTTGGCAATGACACAGGTCAAACGTTTTCTGTAAGTCTTCACAAGGTTTTCACACACTGTTGCTGGTATTTTGGCCCATTCCTCCATGCAGATCTCCTCTAGAGCAGTGATGTTTTGGGGCTGTCGCTGGGCAACACAGACTTTCAACTCCCTCCAAAGATTTTCTATGGGGTTGAGATCTGGAGACTGGCTAGGCCACTCCAGGACCTTGAAATGCTTCTTACGAAGCCACTCCTTCGTTGCCCGGGCGGTGTGTTTGGGATCATTGTCATGCTGAAAGACCCAGCCACGTTTCATCTTCAATGCCCTTGCTGATGGAAGGAGGTTTTCACTCAAAATCTCACGATACATGGGCCCATTCATTCTTTCCTTTACACGGATCCGTCGTCCTGGTCCCTTTGCAGAAAAACAGCCCCAAAGCATGATGTTTCCACCCCCATGCTTCACAGTAGGTATGGTGTTCTTTGGATGCAACTCAGCATTCTTTGTCCTCCAAACACGACGAGTTGAGTTTTTACCAAAAAGTTCTATTTTGGTTTCATCTGACCATATGACATTCTCCCAATCCTCTTCTGGATCATCCAAATGCACTCTAGCAAACTTCAGACGGGCCTGGACATGTACTGGCTTAAGCAGGGGGACACGTCTGGCACTGCAGGAATTGAGTCCCTGGCGGCGTAGTATGTTACTGATGGTAGGCTTTGTTACTTTGGTCCCAGCTCTCTGCAGGTCTTTCACTAGGTCCCCCTGTGTGGTTCTGGGATTTTTGCTCACCGTTCTTGTGATCATTTTGACCCCACGGGGTGAGATCTTGCGTGGAGCCCCAGATCGAGGGAGATTATCAGTGGTCTTGTATGTCTTCCATTTCCTAATAATTGCTCCCACAGTTGATTTCTTCAAACCAAGCTGCTTACCTATTGCAGATTCAGTCTTCCCAGCCTGGTGCATGTCTACAATTTTGTTTCTGGTGTCCTTTGACAGCTCTTTGGTCTTGGCCATAGTGGAGTTTGGAGTGTGACTGTTTGAGGTTGTGGACAGGTGTCTTTTATACTGATAACAAGTTCAAACAGGTGCCATTAATACAGGTAACGAGTGGAGGACAGAGGAGCCTCTTAAAGAAGAAGTTACAGGTCTGTGAGAGCCAGAAATCTTGCTTGTTTGTAGGTGACCAAATACTTATTTTCCACCATAATTTGCAAATAAATTCATTAAGAATCCTACAATGTGATTTTCTGGATTTTTTTTCCCTCAATTTGTCTGTCATAGTTGACATGTACCTATGATGAAAATTACAGGCCTCTCTCATCTTTTTAAGTGGGAGAACTTGCACAATTGGTGGCTGACTAAATACTTTTTTTCCCCACTGTATGTAATCACCTTTTGTGCATGCATAATTATATCATCACCAATTCTGAATGAAGAACAGTACTGGCCATTCTATTGTATCGATTTATTCTAATTATAATCTCAAAATGGTATGTACCCTATATCAGTCCACCGAATCCAAGTAGTTTTATCAGTCTACTCTGGCCTACTTGGAGTACACAGTTAGAGCGTGCGTCATTTACAATAGCAGGTAGACCAAGACGAACGGATGCACATGCTGCGTTATGCTACAAAATCTGAATGAAAACAACGGTGGGGAAGAAATTACATCTCTGATGATTATTCTTCTGATTCCAAGCCTCTGCCTGAACCTACACCTCAGAGGCTACTTTTTGTATTTTGTCATTATAAAAAGAAGATGTTACCGCGTTCCAACAGATATATGCGTCTATTTCATAGCTGTAACAAAAACACTTCACAAATAAAATGTATTGAACACTTGAATTTGTGTTTTTACATATAGCCTACAGTAAGATAAACCAGTGGTTCCCAACCAGGGGTACTAGGACCCCTACGGGTACTTGAGAAGAATCATGAGTCCATAGGCATACTGGTAAAATCCCAATGAGGGGGTACTTTGGGCAGTTGGTGGTACAGTAACTGAAAAAGGTTGGGAACCACTGAGATAAACTAATGAAAATACAGGCGTATATAAAAAAAAAAAAAATTATAATAATGTATTAATGTTACATAAGACAATAATAAACGTAACCAAATGATTATTTTTGAGATAGCATACAGTGAGGGAAAAAAGTATTTGATCCCCTGCTGATTTTGTACGTTTGCCCACTGACAAAGAAATGATCAGTCTATAATTTTAATGGTAGGTTTATTTGAACAGTGAGAGACAGAATAACAAAAAAATCCATAAAAACGCATGTCAAAAATGTTATAAATTGATTTGCATTTTAATGAGGGAAATAAGTATTTGACCCCCTCTTAATCAGAAAGATTTCTGGCTCCCATGTGTCTTTTATACAGGTAACGTGCTCCTAATCTCATCTTGTTACCTGTATAAAAGACACCTGTCCACAGAAGCAATCAATCAATCAATCAGATTCCAAACTCTCCACCATGGCCATGACCAGCCAAGTCAGGGACAAGATTGTAGACCTACACAAGGCTAGAATGGGCTACAAGACCATCGCCAAGCAGCTTGGTGAGAAGGTGACAACAGTTGGTGCGATTATTTGCAAATGGAAGAAACACAAAATAACTGTCAATCTCCCTCGGCCTGGGGCTCCATGCAAGATCTCACCTCGTGGAGTTGCAATGATCATGAGAACGGTGAGCAATCAGCCCAGAACTACACGGGAGGATCTTGTCAATGATCTCAAGGCAGCTGGGACCATAGACACCAAGAAAACAATTGGTAACACACTACGCCATGAAGGACTGAAATCCTGCAGCGCCCGCAAGGTCCCCCTGCTCAAGAAAGCACATATTCAGGCCTGTCTGAAGTTTGCCAATGAACATCTGAATGATTCAGAGGAGAACTGGGTGAAAGTGTGGTGGTCAGATGAGACCAAAATCAAGCTCTTTGGCATCAACTCAACTCGCCGTGTTTGGAGGAGGAGGAATGCTGCCTATGACCCCAAGAACACCATCCCCACGGTCAAACATGGGAGGTGGAAACATTATGCTTCGGGGGTGTTATTCTGCTAAGGGGACAGGACAACTTCACCTCATCAAAGGGACGATGGACGTGGCCATGTACCGTCAAATCTTGGGTGAGAACCTCCTTCCCTCAGCCAGGGCATTGAAAATGGGTTGTGGATGGGTATTCCAGCATGACAATGACCCAAAACACACGGCCAAGGCAACAAAGGAGTGGCTCAAGAAGAGGCACATTAAGGTCCTGGAGTGGCCTAGCCAGTCTCCAGACCTTAATTCCATAGAAAATCTGTGGAGGGAGCTGAAGGTTCGAGTTGCCAAACGTCAGCCTCGAAACCTTAATGACTTGGAGAAGATCTGCAAAGAGGAGTGGGACAAAATCCCTCCTGAGATGTGTGCAAACCTGGTGGCCAACTACAAGAAACGTCTGACCTCTGATTGCCAACAAGGGTTTTGCCACCAAGTACTAAGTCATGTTTTGCAGAGGGGTCAAATACTTATTTCCCTCATTAAAATGCACATGAAATTTTTGAGATGCGTTTTTCTGGAGGGGTCAAATACTTATTTCCCTCATTAAAATGCAAATAAAAATTTTGAGATGCGTTTTTCTGGATTTTGTTGTTATTCTGTCTCTCACTGTTCAAATAAACCTACCATTAAAATTATAAACTGATCATGTCTTTGTCAGTGGGCAAACGTACAAAATCAGCAGGGGATCAAATACATTTTATCCCTCACTGTATATGAAATGTATTAATTACACTGTTAGAATGTTATCAGTAGCTTGAAGGAGGGTCCATCGAGGCCCAGCGGTTCTAGTGTTAATAAACCTGCCCCTCAAAATCCCAGTGACCAGGCTACTGATAGGTTGCTAGGTCAGGTTGCTAGATGGCCTGACACCAGACAGCCCTTCGGCTTCCTCAGTCTCTGTCCAAGTGGACACGTGTGATGGAATGCGTATTGTTTTAAATCGCATTGCCTACAGTCGGAATGGCCCACAATTTGGGCAGCGCGCAAGGCAAATATCAAATAGGCCTAAAGATGATTGTTGAGTTGCGACTGTCAGTGAAAAGAGACTTAGCCAAGCATATCGCAATATTTAAAAATACAAATAGTGGAAAAACTGTTTGGAAAGCAAATGGCTATTGCTGTAAAGAGATGACAATAAAAATACTCCAATCTATCTTTTAGTTATCAAAATTCTGCAAACAGTAAGTATCCTTGTATCTTATTGGCACCAGCAGAGAACATCAGCCATATCCCCAGTGAGTGTGCATAGTCACTGTCTTTATCATTGGGTCAGTGCCACTTTTGTTTGTTTTTGGACAATAATTTCCTCCTCCAGGTTAGATGGACGTCATATTGTATGTGTCTCCCCTTTTTGTAGGCCGATTATATGGATTAGACAACAACGTTTTTATTGATCTATTTGTCAATGTCAGCAGAGTAGGCTACCCTGTAATTTTTGTAGTATTAAAAACGATTCTGCTAATGTCTCCATTCATATAAAGTGTAGTAGAATTGCATGACATGTGTTTATAAAAGGCCAACAAGAAATGTATCTGATAGGCCTATACCCTACTCTACGCTGCATTGAACAGTAATTGAGTTATATTATTAGCCTAAATTATGACTATCCAATCTAATCATCACATTAGTAATAGTAGGCTCTTACATACAGTACTTTCACCACTGCTTATTCCTCTGACTGGGAAAGGTGTCAGTGAGTCACAGACTAGCCCAACTGGAGAACGGCTCTCTTTCAGGCATAATGCAGCAATATTATGCAATATCTAGAAAATGGATCCATGTTTCACAATGTTTGAGAAATGTTTGAGTACTGTATAATAACTGTATTATATAACCTGCTTCAGGGTTCTGATGCTTTCATGGATGGGTCTGGGTAGGCCGACAACTGTATCTGTGTCACTGCAATACAAATACAAAAATAACCATGAAATCTAGGTCAAGGATCTTCGACAAGAAATGACTTTTCAAGATGAATAGATTAAAACTCTAGAAGATTTCATCTCTATTAAATAAAAAATGTAAAAAAGACACCAACTGAACTTACTTTCCAAGCGTATAGCCGATAAATTTGCTTCTACTTGATTCCAGGAAATGTTCTATGTCCTTTTCCCTATAAAAGCATTAAACAAAAGAAAATTCTAGTCATACACTATTAGGGACATTATACAAGACACATAACACAACAAAGCACATCTAAAGAAACAGCATTAATCTGTAGCAAATGTCTCCCTGATGTCTCCCTCAGCCCCAGACCTGACTTTGGGGGCCCAGGGCAGCCCCTTGGGGAAGTTCACCCTCTCTGAGGGGGGTTGTAGGATGGGCGGGGGCATGACCTCATCCCGCTCCATGGGAAAAGGCTCCGCCTCCATTGAGTTGTCATTGTCATCGTTGTCATCCTCATCTTCACGAGGGTCATCTGACTTGTAGGGGTCCTTCTCATTGAAGGCGTCCAGGTTGTCCTGTTTTATCAGGGACTGTAATAGAGAGGATAGGGTTGAGGAGTATTTTTCAAATAAGCCTTACAGAATGGTACATTGAGCAGGTGTCAAAACAGGGGGTGGCCTTCACTTTGCTGTGCTGCATTGAGACTTCATTGAGGCGTGGTAGAGGTTACCTTGTGTTCACGGCGTGCCCTTTTCTGCTGCTGTTCGATGAGGTCAGAGGCGGAGGCGGGGGGCGAGGCTGCCCTCATGCTCCTGATGACCCGGATGCTGTCCTCTGGGAGGGGGGGCAGGCGCAGCTCCTCCCGCTTACGCACCTTAATGTTCTGGAGCTGCTCAAACCCCCCGAGGGTGAACTGGGGCAGAGGAGAGGACATGTTGTAAATTGGATATGCAAGCCAAAAGTGTATACCTAGGATAGGATAAAGTAATCCTTCTACCCCCCCCCAAAAAACAAAAAAACATATTGTAAAGTGGTTATCCCACTGGCTATAAGGTGAATGCACCAATTTGTAAGTCGCTCTGGATAAGAGCGTCTGCTAAATGACGTAAATGTAAAAAATGTAAATGTAAAAGTACCTGGCTAAGAATAGCCATAATCCGCTAAATAAGATAAAATCTCTCTCACCAGTATGCTCTTCCACAGCAGCAGCAGGACCTTCTTCATGGGGAAGTGGGGGGCGTGGCCACTGCAGAACTTAGTCACCATGCCAAAGAGCATGACAGAGATGGGCTCGTTGTTGTACAGAGGAGCGCCTGGAAGAGAGAGAGGGAGAGAGTGGGGAAAGAGCAAAGACTAGTTATAACAGATTGCCCAAAACTACTCCTCAACAAAACCCTTCTTCTATCTAATAGAAACACACACTCTTACCCAGCTCTGTTTTAAAGGTCTCCCTGGTGGCCCTCCACTCAGGTGAGTCGGCTGGGTCCTCCTGCTGGATGGTCGCCACCATCAGGTACATGATATTGAGCAGCACCCTGAGGAACCAGAAAAACACCCCAGCATCAGAGGAGGACTCCCATACACTGGTGTTTAACTATATAGAGCTGCAGGAAAGTCAGTGTCTAATCTTACCTGAGGTCTGTGCTGTCAGCCAAGGAGATTGCTGGCTTTCTGACTGCACTGCTACAGGCAGCACTGTTACTGTGAGAGAGCGAGAGGGAGCAGAGGAGAGGGAGAGTGGTTGAAAAGAGGAAAGAAAGAATCAGCAACCTGATTTTGACCACATTTTGTGTAGCAAAAAAACTCTTCCCAAAAACAATGACATCTCAATGATTTGTAGTTCCAACTTACTCAACCTCCATGTTGAGCAGCTCCACCAGGGCAGTGAAGGTGCCAACATCCAGCAGCAGGAAGATGTTGTACCTCATCCAGTGCTGAACTTCTGCCTCAGAGCTGCATTCCGCAAATGTCCCTGTAGAGCCACAGGTAGGAAACATGACTTTAGTGCTGAAACACTGTTTGCATCACTATAAAAACATACGGCAACAGCTGTCTCTTCACAGGCATCTTTATTCAACGCAGGCTACTAAACGGTTGAGTGCTGAGGACCTACCCTGAACCATGTAGAGGATGGCCCTAGACACCTTCAGCCTCTTTTCCCTGGCGATCACCTCCAGGCCGTCCAGTAGACGCATGGCGTGAGCTCTGTGTTGAGACACATCCAGCTCGGTCCATTTCTTGTCAGACACTGAGACAGGAGCAAAACACTGTCAGTCAGAGGTACTATATAACCACACTGGAGGAAGACAATGCATTCAAGTCGATAAGGTACATACCATGAGTTCGGAATTCCTCCTCAAAGCATTTTCTGTTGAGAAGAAATTCTGGTCCTTCAGTGTAACTGTATAGCTCTGGAGAAGATATGTAGGCATAGTTGGTACCAAATTCACAAGAGAACCTGTCACAGAGGTCAAAATGAAAAAACAATAAAGGAGTGTCCAGTAATACATCACCTGACAGTTCAGCAGACCACCTGTCTGTATCGGCATACTCAAACTCAAGGTCTGGAGACTCGGAGAAGCCCTGTGTTGGAGCACAGACACAAATACAGTGCATTCGGAAAGTATTCAGACCCCTTGACTTTTAATTTTTTTATTCATCAATATGCACACAATACCCCATAATGACCAAGCAAAAACTGGTTTTTAGACATTTTAGCAAATTTCTTAAAAATAAAAAAACTGACATATTACATTTACATTAATATTCAGACCCTTTACTCAGTACTTTGTTGACACACCTTTGGCAGCGAGTACAGCCGCGAGTCTTCTTGGGTATGACGCTACAAGCTTGGCACATCTGTATTTGGGGAGTTTCTCCCATTCTTCTCTGCAGATCCTCTCAAGCTCTGTCAGGTTAGATTGCTCCGTTCATCTTGCCCTCGATCCTGACTAGTCTCCCAGTCCCTGCCGCTGAAAAACATCCCCACAGCATGATGCTGCCACCACCATGCTTCACCGTACGGATGGTGCCAGGTTTCCTCCAGACGTGACGCTTGGATTTCAGGCCAAAGAGTTCAATCTTGGTTTTATCAGACCAGAGAATCTTGTTTCTCATGGTCTGAGAGTCCTTTAGGTGCCTTTGGCAAACTCCAAGTGGGCTGTCATGTGCCTTTTACTGAGGAGTGGCTTCCGTCTGGCCACTAACATAAAAGCAGGTTCTCCCATCTCCACAGAGGAACTCTCCATCGGGTTCTTGGTCACCTCCCTGACCAAGGCCCTTCTCCCCCGATTGCTCAGTTTGGCCAGCTCTAGGAAGAGTCTTGGTGGTTCCAAACTTCTTTAATTTAAGAATGATGGAGGCCACTATGTTCTTGGGGACCTTCAAATGGTGCAGACATTTTTTGTTACCCTTCCCCAGATCTGTGCCTCGACACAATCCTGTCTCGGACAATTCCTTCAACCTCATGGCTTGGTTTTTGCTCTGACATGCACTGTCAACTGTGGGACCTTATATAGACAGGTGTGTGCCTTTCCAAATCATGTCCAATCAATTGAATTTACCACAGGTGGACTCCAATCAAGTTGTAGAAACATCTCAAGGGTGATCAATGGAAACAGGATGCACCTGAGCTCAATTTCGAGTCTCATAGCAAAGTGTCTGAATACTTATGTAAATAAGGTATTTCTGTTTTTTTATTTGTAATAAATGTACAAACATTTCTAAAAACCTTTTTTAGCTTTGTCATTATGGGGTATTGTGTGTAGACTGATGAGGATCATGTTTTATTTAATCATTTTTAGAATAAGGCTGTAACGTAACAAAATTAGGAAAAATCAAGGGGTCTGAATACTTTCCGAATTCACTGCACATTGATCTGGTACTGGTACTCCCTGTTTATAGCTCCATTCTTGTGTATTTTATATTATTCCTCGTGTTTACTCACTGGTCTAGTAGTTAAATATAAGTAAATTCAAGAGGGTGGCACACAGTATTACCATTTAATTTTTAAACTCTACATTGTTGGGAAGGGTCCTTACATGTACATGGTAAAGTCTACACCAGTTGTATTCGGTGTATGTGACAAATAAAATGAGATTTTACAGTAAGTGTGTATTTTGCTATTGTGAAATTATTTTGATGTGATTATGTAGAGGGTAGGGATTTAGCTATGTTTCTAGAACCTTACAGTAACTGAGAATCGAGTCACGTAGAAAATGTTGCTGTATTTGGCTGTTTTGGCTTGCAGAGCCAATTCTCAATAGAACATGTAAGGTCCTTGGAATATAAAGGATTAACCAAAGTGGAGTAACGTTAAGCTCCTTTAGTCCATTTTTGGGCTAGCCACCTAACTAATTTAGCTACTGTAGTTACTAATGTTAGCCGGTAACATAAACTAACTAACGTTAACTAGTTAACGTTGGACAAGTGGCAGTTTCAAATTCAGGGATAACAATCCTAATAGCGCATTTTAGTTACATAGCTAGTTAGCTATCCATCAGAACAGTTGTAATGGGTGAAAACGGACTGGGGGCTCAATAATTCAAGTAACGTTAGCTAGCAGCAGGTATCGACTAGTAAATTTGCTAACTTAGCTAGTTCTAGTTAGGCTTGTTGACAGCACAAACACGATGCATTTATGATACAGAACGTAATTCAATAAACCATAATTTTTCTTCCTTACCTCCAAGTCTTTTCTTTGATTACGGACAAATTCACCCCTACTTTTGTTGGGTAACATAGCCCTCTGTTTATTGACAATCAATTCACCACCATTATTACCACCACCGTCCATCTCTGATTCAACAACAAAATCTGAGTTTCTAAACCCAGAGGCGCAACATCGCGAGACTTCCCGGAACGCTTTGGAAACAGACCAGACCGGAGTTTGCGGTTTGAGAAGTGAACAAATCTTTTTAGTTGTTATTTTTTTCGAAATCTAAAGGCGCAACCTAGATTCGAGCCAATGTCTTAAGTAGTAGAACATGTTATTACTCCAACCTCGTGAAAGTGACAAACTGACACGTTTTCCTTTCGTCAAAAACAACTTTATATCGAAGGAGTGTCTTTGATTCGACGGCCTGCACTTGCGCAGTTCGACGCAAGACGGACCCGTGACATCGCCAACGTCGCCATGACATCGCCTACAACTTCTACAAGTGTGATTGACGATTTCTATTGGAGAAGCAGTTTTAGCCTATCTTCATACTGTACTGTCTTTGACAAAGTTATTATTCTTCGTGTGGGTTTCCGGATTTCTGCCTTTCTGCCTTTCACAGGTCGGAGTGTGAATTGCACATTTGTCACCAAAAAAGGGAAAAGGAGAAAAAGAAATCGAACCACCATCTAACCCAGTGGTTCCCAATCAGGGGTACTAGGACCCCTGGGGCCACTGGGCCTATCCACAGGGGGTACTTGAGAAGACTCATGAGACCATAGGCTTACTGGTAAAATGTACATGAGGGGGTACTTCAGGGGTACGCCAGGCAGAGCAAAATTCAGTTGGTGGCACAATAATGGAAAAAAGTTGGGAACCACTGATCTAACCCAACGTTAACCAAACTCGGTCCTAGGAACCCCAAGGGGTGCACATTTTGGTTTTTGCCCTAGCACTACACAGCTGATTTAAATAATGAACTCATCATCAAGCTTTGGTTATTTAAAATAAAATCTTATTTGTCACATACACGTGTTTAGCAGATGTTATAGCGGGTATAGCGAAATGCTTGTGCTTCTAGCTCCGACAGTGCAGTAATATCTAACAAGTAGTATCTAACAATTTCACAACATATACCTAATACACACAAAACTAGTAAGGAATGGGATTTAAGAATATATACATTTCTTTTTATTTAACTAGGCAAGTCAGTTAAGAACAAATTCTTATTTACAATGACGGCCTACACACCAGCCAAACCCGGACGACGCTGGGCCAATTGTGCGCTGCCCTATGGGACTCCCAATCACGGCCAGTTGTGATACAGCCTGGAATCGAACCAGGGGGTCTGTAGTGACGCTTCAAGCACTGAGATGCAGTGCCTTAGACCGCTGCGCCACTCGGGAGCCCATACATATATGGAGAAGCAATGACAGAGCAGCATGGACTAAGATGCTGTAGAATATTATAGAATAGAATGCAGTATATACATATGAAATGAGTAGTGCAAGATATGTAAACATTATTAAAGTGACTAGTGTTCCATTTCTTAAAGTGGCCAGTGATTTCAATAGGCAGCAGCAGCCTCTAATGTGCTAGTGATGGCTATTTAACAGTCTGATGGCCTTGAGATAGAAGCTGTTTTTCATTCTCTCGGTCCCAGCTTTGATGCACCTGTACTGACCTCGCCTTCTGGATGATAGCGGGGTGAACAGGCAGTGGCTTTGGTGGTTGATGTCCTTGATGATATTTTTGGCCTTCCTGTGACATCGGGTGCTGTATGTGTCTTGGAGGGCGGGTAGTTTGCCCCCGGTAATGCGTTCGGCAGACCGCACCACCCTCTGGAGAGCCCTGCAGTTGCCGTACCAGGCGGTGATACAGCCCGACAGGATGCTCTCAATTGTGCATCTGTAAAAGTTTGTGAGGGTTTTAGGTGCTAAGCCAAATTTCTTCAGCCTCCTGAGGTTGAAGAGGCTCTGTTGTGCCTTCTTCACCACACTGTCTGCATGAGGGGACCATTTCAGTTTGTCGGTGATATGTACGCCAAGAAACTTGAAGCTTTCCACCTTCTCCACTGCGGTCCCGTCGATGACGATAGGGGGGTGCACCCTCTGCTGTTTCCTGAAGTCCACGATCATCTCCTTTGTTTTGTTAATGTTGAGTGAGAGGTTATTTTCCTGGCAACACACACCCAGAGCCCTCACCTCCTCCCTGTAGGCGGTCTCGTCATTGTTGGTAATCAAGCCTACTACTGTTGTGTCGTCTGCAAACTTGATGATTGAGTTAGAGGCGTGTTTGGCCACGCAGTCATGGGTGAACAGGGAGTACAGGAGGGGGCTGAGCACGCACCCTTGTGGAGCCCCAGTGTTGAGGATCAGCGAAGTGGAGATGTTGTTTCCTACCTTCACCACCTGGGGGCGGCCCGTCAGGAAGTCCAGGACCCACCTGATGTAGAGTATTTGAATCCTGTGTAATGCTAGGGCAAAAACCGAGTCTGGGAAACGCTGACTAACCCTACATTTACACCACACATATACACCAAAAACCCACCACCCCTACCTATCCCACTACATTGGCCCTAACAAATCCTACTCCAGGCCAAATCCCTGGGAGGATGCAACCCCTTCTTTCAAAAACCCCTGTAGATCTTCTGCACTAAACTCTCTTACAACCCAAACATTTCTGCTACTGCCACTACCACATCTATCTTCTGGGATTTACTCTCCATCAGTTCAGTACAGTTGATAACCATAGCAATAAATGCAAGAAATCCTACCTTACTAAAACTCATCCTCTCTCGAGGCCTACTCACTGGGGGGCTCCCAGTCGAATGGCCTTGTAGATTCACAGTGTTTCTCCCTTTCCTCTCCTAACCTGTGAGAGTCTGTCACTCCCCTTGATACCGGTGTTTATTAGCTATCAGTTCCATTATTTCTTGTAGTGTTCATGGTCTCTCAACTTGTGGCCTTTATTTTCTAACTTCCTGTAGTATAAATGCTGCAAGTGGAGAGCAGACTGTGGCTCAAAGGTACCCACCCGGTTTGCGTCCAGAAGCTTATGCCGCGTTCAAGTGCTAGTCGGAACTAGGAAACTCTGACATTTCCGACTTGCAAACTGGTTGTTGTTATACTCGTGCCACGTTCAACGAATCAGCAAGTTGTACATTTCAGAGTTTCCTAGTTCCAACTAGCATGTGAACGCGGCATTACTCCAAAAGGTCATTGAGGACATCACATCAGCAGTAACTTGACCTGCCTCCCAGCCTCCTGTCTATAGAGTGCATCTTGGGTGGTGGTGGAAATTGTCACCAGTCTTATTCCCAGCGTTGTAGCCAACCCTGTAGACAGAGACTCCCCTGAGGGAGAGGGATCCGCCAGCATGGCACTTATCGACCTGATGATGTGGGTGGTGATATCTTTGCTTTAGGATCTTGCTGGTACTCTTCACGCCACAGATGCACGCCACAGAGACATCACCTGTCTGATTGTGACAGCCATGAAGGTCTTTCCCAGTGGCTACTCTGCAAGATACCCTGTGAGACCTGGTGACTGTGGAGAGCACTGCAGAGTAGATGAGCACAAAACTGTGAACTACTGGACCATAATGTAAACTGGAACTGTTCCCTCTTTCTACACATTATTGACACATTATTGACCCTGCCATGCCAGTGAATGGTGAAGATGTGAGAAAGCACTTCTGCTTGGCACAGCAGCTTTGGGTTGTTATCCAAGACAAGTTCACCAAAGCTCCAAAGAGCAATGCTCTCATATGAGCCTTGAAGAAATTACCTGATTGTGAAGAGAACCTGGGCAAGGTTGACTCTGACCTGGGAGACATGCCCTACTTTGGATACGTTGCAGCATTCCCTGCAAACCAACTGAATAGTGATGCCTTCATGGAGGACAAGGAGCTGTGCTTTAATGTCTCCCAAATGGTCTGCTGAAAAGTTGCTCTATTTCTAGAGCCCATCTGCCATCAACAACAGCCCTGCAGTCATTGTAGGATCAGAAGACACAGGGAAAAGAGTAAGCTCTCTATGAATACAGTTTGTTAGTCAGACATGCAGTTTAGTGAGTTACAACTGTGGTGTTATTTGTCAGTTTACAGTTTGGAGGAAACTTTGCAGCCTCGTATGCACTTGGCAGATCATTGACACTGGAGGAGAAACCATGCGAGCCAACAAATCACATGTACACGCTCTCTAAAGAGTATAATGGATTTCGAGGTGAATACTTAAAATACTTCTATCTTTCAGGTGATCGTGAAATCGCCCATGAAGGGAGGTTTTCTCCGCTGTTTGGAGGGCAGTGTAGCGAGTCACCTGTGGCAACTGTAGATGTCGTAGAGCTAGACCAAGCCTGGACTAAAATAGTCATTCTTGGCCCAGTCTTAACATTTAAACAGCCAAATCAAATATTGTTTATACTTGAATCTATATTTTGTAATTTAAATTGTTTATTCATTCCATTTACTGTGTTGTTTTCTAAATGTCTCTACTGTGAATTTGTGTAAAAAATAGTTGCGTAAGTGGAAAACCCTCATACAGTTAGTTACAGAATTGGGCCTTGAGATCACATTAGGTAAAGAATGACTTGTTAAACAATGTTGCACTAGAAGTTTAATTCATACACCGAAAAGTTTATTAAAGGGATCGGTACACATCAACCAACAGAAACATCAACCAACAGAAAGCAGAAAAATAAAAGTAGCATCAGAGAGCAGTCACATTAAAGTAAACCAATTTGAATTGTGACTCAGCCAGACTATACATCAACCACTCAGATAATACACAGAAAAATAATACATAGTACTGTATAATCTAACAATATCATTTCATTTGCAAAACTCAAATAAAAAAGCAGGTTTTGTCACAACCAGAGATCTGCATCATGTACATCACAGTGATCCTTGCTTTAAATCGGGGATGTGCACTGGCGCCCCGCCCTTTTGTAGGCCTGCGGATCAATTTCAGCCCAAAAATAAATAAATACATTTTAGGAACTCAGTCGGGGTCTCAACTTATTTTTGATAGTTAGAATAGTAGATAGAATACACAAGGTGCAATTTTGAAATTTGGTTGTGTGCATCAGCAGTTTTTCTATTGTTATGTCAGTCACCGACAGTCACTCAATTAGCCCAAATTGCAGAACACTGTTGCATACAACATCCAAATTACCCTGGACATGAGAGCTGGTCAGATAACACTTTACTGTTAGATGGGGTTTCATAAACTGGAAGATTCAATTAACTAAAATAGAATTTGAATTCAGAGGCATTGTAATCAACGCAGTGCATGTAAAGGCATTCTGGTTTTACTTTATGGCATGCTTTTGGTAGTGCTATACAGACAATAACCAAGGTAAGAAATAAAGATTTACTGTAAGTCCAAAACAAGTAAATTCAAACTACTATGTTCGCTTACAATGGAAGTAACTAAATGCTGACACATTAAGCAGTTTGGGTACCCCCAATAAGTACAAATCTTTATATGAGACCACTACAGTGATGCACATCTTGGTGCATAGTGATTATACTGCAGAATCAGAACACTGTTGGACAGCTTTCAAAGAGGAATAGAGTGGACAGACATAATCCTACAAGTGATGAATATGTGCAGTAGCAGATGGGTCACAAGGCACTGTCACTTGACCAGTAACCAAAGTTACGACGCAAAAACCCCACCAACAATTTCCTTCTCACGCATATGTCCTTGGTTGTAATGCCCAACAGCTTTAAGTAGTGCAAAGATGAAAGCGCTTTATCTCACAGTTGCATCAACTAATATACAGTATATACAAATAAAACAGTATCTGTTGTTTCACACAGCTAAAATGGAAGGACAGAGAAAAGACTGAAAACCTCAGCAAAAACTAAATTGTACACACAGATGTGGTCTGTATTCAACCGACTCAGTGTCCCATGTTACCAGACCAGGGTGACAGTGCATGTAATTTAAAATGCACGGGTAATACATACAGATTATTTACCTTCTATAATATTACATCGGCAGGTGAAACTAAAAAACAACAAAATGTGCAGTTTGCAGTCTGATGATGATCATTACTCAACTGAATAACAACTATCCTTATGGAGTAGTGTGAGAGTAAAAATGACCTGCTTTGTTTTATATTAATAGTTAACAATTATATCCTTAACATTGGTAAAGAGATTTTGATAACTTGTAATACTGTGCTTCTGAGAAGGGATGGTTCCACTCTCTGCTCCCAGCAGCTGGTCTGTGCAAATCGTCAAGGACATGGGGCGACTCATAGATAACTCGAGAGTCGGGATAGAGATAGAACTTGAGGGACAGAACTTGGTCACACGGTCAAGAGAAAGAGCCTCTGAGAGTGACCACAGTTTTTCAGTTCATCCTGTATTTTACTATCTTCCAAGGGCACAGCTGTGTGGAGATATGAGGTGAAACGGAACTACCGTTATCACTTGTTTGTGCGCTATGAACCGATACACATAGCCACGAGAAGAAAACAAGGTAACTTCCGAGCTGACGTGGAGGGGTGGAACCAGCCTTGACTAAGCATTTTTAGGTCCACTATATAAGACGTCTGTTTATCTCTGTATGTCAGAGCTCTCGGCCGTATTGGGTCAACCAGCCTCATTATTGCAGAGCATTCACTCTATTCACTTGTGTGTGTGTGTGGTGTGACCTGATCACTTGTTAATACATTTTGAATAAAGTAATATCCTGATTGGTGATTGACCTTGTCTCTCCTCATTGTTAAAGTAGAACTTCCACGACAGCAGACCTTCAATGTGATGGTGACATGAAAACAGGTAAGTATGGATGCAGAGAACAGAGAAGGTGATCAGGAACATTAGGAATGTTAAGAGAAAAACAGATTCACGACACACAAACAGGGATACTAGTTACTACTAGTAATAACAATACTAAAATCAGCCAACTACTGTATTTAAAAAATCACTTCAATAAACTTAATTCCACATTGTTTGGACCAGGGATGGAGAAATGGCAATGCCACTATTGTCCTTTGAGTCTGATAAGACTCCTATAATGCAAAACATTCCAGTGTTATTACCATGTGAGACTCAAATCAAAATCAGTGTCAGATTGGATAATCACTCTTCTGGTTACACATACCTTTCTGTATCTTACACTTCTAAATGTTGTTAGTGAAGATAATTGTATTTCTGTACTGTACATGCACACATGTACTATACAAAGAAGATGATATACTGTATGTCTGCCATTTAGTCAATACAGTACAGTCAGTACAGGTAATCATCTTTTCAATCAAAGCTCAGCTTTGTTTCAGAGGGAGAGAGATAGAGATCAGTAAAATGACAAGCTGGTAGTAAACATCTATGTGGGTATTCAAATGGTCCAGCAAGAAACGTGACAATGTGTTTAAATGGAACACTGAGGTTGAGTCTTTCTAGTGTGGAGGCCATTTCTCCCTGTTCCCTTGGCTGGAATTTAATTATTTGAGAAGAGCGTCATCAATGCAGACAGAAAATATAAATCTCAATCACAACCATCCCCTTTCCTGCACAATCAATTGGCACAATAATAAAGATCAATCAAACTACAAATAAAACATCAGAAAAATGTATATTCTACTGGGGAGTGGGTATGAAATCAGACGTGTATATACAGTACCAGTCAAACGTTTGGACACACCTACTCATTCCAGTTTTTATTTTTACATTGTAGAATAATAGTGAAGACATAAAAACTATGAAATAACAGCTATGGAATCATGTAATAACCAAAAAAGTGTTAAACAAATTAAAATATATTTTAGATTTTAGATTCTTCAAAGTAGCCACCCTTTGCCTTGATGACAGCTTTGTACATTCTTGCCATTCTCTCAACCAGCTTAATGAGGTAGTCACCTGGAATGCATTTCAATTAACAGGTGTGCCTTCTTAAAAGTTAATTTGTGGAATTTCATTCCTTCTTAATGTGTTTGAGCCAATCAGTTGTGTTGTGATAAGGTAGGGTTGGTATACAGAAGATAGCCTATTTGGTAAAAGACCAAGTCCATATTATGGTAAGAACAGCTCAAATAAGCAAAGAGAAACAACAGTCCATCATTACTTTAAGACATGAAGGTCAGTCAATGCGGAACATTTCAAGAACTTTGAACGTTTCTTCAAGTGCAGTCGCAAAAACCATCAAGCGCTATGATGAAACTGGCTCTCATGAGGACTGCCACAGGGAAGGAAGACCCAGAGTTACCTCTGCTGCAGAGGATAAGTTCATTCGAGTTAACTGCACCTCAGACTGTAGCCCAAATAAATGCTTCACAGAGTTCAAGTCACAGACACAGCTCAACATCAACTGTTCAGAGGAGACTGCGTGAATCAGGCCTTCATGGTCAAATTGCTGCAAAGAAACCACTACTAAAGGACACCAATAAGAAGAGACATGCTTGGGCCAAGAAACACAAGCAAGGGACATTAGACCGGTGGAAATTTGTCCTTTGGTCTGATTAGTCCAGATTTGAGATTTTTGGTTCCAACTGCCATGTCTTTGTGAGACGCAGAGTAGGTGAACGGATGATCTCTGCATGTGTGGTTCCCACCGTGAAGCATGGAGGAGGAGGTGTGATGGTGTGGGGGTGCTTTGCTGGTGACACTGTCTGTGATTTATTTAGAATTCAAGGCACACTTAACCAGCATGGCTACTACAGCCTTCTGCAGCAATACACCATCCCATCTGGTTTGCACTTAGTGGGACTATCATTTGATTTTCAACAGGACAATGACCCAACACACCTCCAGGCTGTGTAAGGGCTATTTGACCAAGAAGGAGAGTGATGGAGTGCTGCATCAGATGACCTGGCCTCCACAATCTCCCGACCTCAACCCAATTAAGATGGTTTGGGATGAGTTGGACTGCAGAGTGAAGGAAAAGCAGCCAACAAGTGCTTAGCATATGTGGGAACTCCTTCAAGACTGTTGGAAAATCATTCCAGGTGAAGCTGGTTGAGAGAATGCCAAGAGTGTGCAAAGCTGTCATCAAGGCAAAGGGTGGCTACTTTGAAGAATCTAAAATCTAAAATATATTTTGATTTGTTTAACACTTTTTTTGGATACTACATGATTCCATATGTGTTATTTCATAGTTGATGTCTTCACTGTTATTCTACAATGTAGAAAATAGTAAAAAATAAAGAAAACCCTTGAATGAGTAGGTGTGTCCAAACTTTTGACTGATACTGTATATCTCAAGCAGACAGCTGAGTTTAAGTGCTGTACATTCAATTGGTCATTCATGACCAGTGGGGTCCTGTATGTTGGTTTCTTAAAGTGTGTATTTACAGAACTAATGGTGAAACTAAACACACAAAACAGCAAGTGAAACAGGGTAACACCTACTGTAGAAGATGAAGGAATAGGAGCTTAATTTGAAAACAAAAACTATTTTCTTTTTTCTAAGGTGAAGTGTCTTTAAGAAAACAAAATATATATTTCATTATCTTCTGGTCATCCAGGCCTTCTGGTCCAAGTCAAGGAGTGCAGAGTTGTGGTCCATTCATGCAAGCTAATACCTATGAATACCAAAAAATGAACATCAGTCAAATGTATGTACCGCAGTCATAAAAACCTTCACTTAACTCGATTGGACCAATAAGAACATTTATGTTGTGGGTGTGGGGATGCATTGCAGATAAATTTGACATAAATCTGATATTTGGGTGACATTTAAAGGGATGTTAGGGGGACTTTTGTACCTGTAGTAGTTGGGTTTGAATGGGCCATTCTTGTTGAGGCCCAGGTACTTGGCCTGCTCATCTGAGAGCTCCGTCAGGTGAGCGTCAAAGGTGGGCAGGTGCAGGCTGGCAACATACTCATCTGAGACAATCACAACACACATACAATTATAGAAGTGATAAGCAATGTTTTTATAATTGTATTCAACAAATATTTGTGTCTGTATGCTTAAATACCAAATAAAAGTTACAGAATTGATTTGTAATGCCTCATTCACATCATCAGAGGTCATCAGTAGGGCCTCAGAAACTAGTGAAAGTGGTTTGATCAGCTTGTCCAAAACAAGCACTTGTGAAACAGTATCATTATGTCCACAGAGACAGTGATAAAACAGCTAAACCAGGAATTATTGTGTTGTGTAGCTAGCTAGACCATAACATAATTATAACTACCACTACAGCCATTATTTCTCTGTATTTTCATGTAACGCGCCAAACATGGCAGGGTATAAGGGCTGTCCATTACTCACCCATCTTCTTGGGAAGCAAGTAGACATCCTGTTTGTAGCGGCCCTCTGGAGCATTGTACAGCTCAATAAGCGCCAGCGCCTGTTGGAGAAATGAAGTACAATACACAATCATTAGTATACACACAATCTCAGGAATAGACGGGTCGTTCCAACAAGTAGGTGCCTTTTGAGTAGTGTAACTACTTTTCATTTCACGTAATTTTAACCTTATCATAAAGGTCACATGTTCAACTTCATAAAAAACACGTTATTTTATTAAATGTTATTGTAGTTGTTTCTCTATAATACTACTAGTCACCTAGCAATTTTATGAAGTTGGCTTTAGCTAGCCCAGATAGGTTCCCAATCTCATAACTAGCTACCAAGAAGCCATTTCAGGCTATCAATCAAGTTAGAGTAACTACCTTATCTAACTATCTTAGCTGGCATGCCTGCTGGCAAGGTTGGTAGACTTAAGAAAAGCAAGCAATTACTACATGTACCGAATAAGACTCACATTCCTTTCAATCTTTTACCCATCATTTACCAGAGATGCAGAGAAGCATTTATAGTTTATTTTAAAAAATAACCACCAGACAGGAGGATACAGACAGCTCAAGAGGTATGCTTAGATATGCAGAAAATAAAAAGTTTTTTTTTACATAGAATTAAGCATAATGATTTTGGCTCTAGATTGCTGGAAAAAAGCAGTTTCAGATGTTCTGATTTTTTTTATTTTTATCCTACTTCTGGACGGGGACCGAACCCCTCGCCTGACCAACCTCGCAGCCATCCTAACGTACTTTGTGCCCCCTCCGTTTTTGGGGGTGCATGATGCCCCTGGATGGGGGCAACTTCTTGTTGCACAAGGTGCTCAAGTTCAGAATGGCTGTCAGTCAAAACCCATACAGAGCTGTGAAGCAGAGACCCTGAACTCTGACATCATGTATAGCATGTTACTGTACAGCCACTGCATTCCAATTTAGGCGCTTATCAGTGTCCAAATCTGCCATTTTCAACCTGTATACGGCTGTATACGAGTGTAAAGGGCTACATACAAAAATTACTATAGTAAGTGTCAAATAAAGTAACATGGTTGACTGTAACAGGGTTGACGACTTAATCTTAAATCAGCCATAAATCCCCTTGTGACGGGGGAATGGAAGCTTGTTGTGTGCAAAAGGGAGGGGCAATTGAATGCAAGCGTCACAAAAAAAAATGTTGCAAAAATAATTCTAGCCTGTCTATCTATGGGTAACAGGGTTGACGTGTTATGCTCCACCAATAACCATCAGAAAATGGCCAAAAAGAGTAGAACCAGCTCACTTGCTTTTACACTATGATTTGACTATTACATGTTCAATGTTTCTTTTGAAAAAAACATTTTAAAAAGGAACAGTTTCACCATATTAAAACGAGAGTTCTGATCACGTAACATTTATGACCTTAAAATGAGGGACAGGTTATTATAATAATTTTTTTACCTTAAAATGAATCACTAATCACATGAAATAAATAATATTCAGAAATGACTTTGTCAAAGCAACACAATAATTAGGGCTTTACAATGATGGTGAAAATGTTGGGATTAAGTGGGTTAAAATCTTCCTAGAAGTCACAGAGGATGCTATATTACAGCTGCAATATGTAACATTTTGGAATACCTGACCAAATTCACATAGAAATTAGAGTTATAGATCTGTCATACTCATTGAAAGCAAGTCTAAGAAGCTGTATTTATGTTCTATGTGTATTATTTCTATGCTTCCCGTTCTTAAGTTTAATTTTTGTGTATTTTACATTCGGTTTTGTACACCAGCTTCAAACAGCTGAAAATAAAAACAATATTTTTGGTTATGGAAAATATATTTCACAGCGGTTTAGATGGTACAATTACTCTCTACACTATACTTGCTTGTTTTGTCCCAAACTGAAATTAGGCAAACTATTCGAATTTTAGCAACCAGGAAAGGGCACTTAAATTTATACTGAACAAAAATATAGAACGCAAAATGCAACAATTTCTAAGATTTTACTGAGCTACAGTTCATATAATCTATGGATTTCACATGACTGGGAATACGGATACACTATATATACAAAAGTATGTGGACACCCCTTCAAATTAGTGGATTTGGCTATTTCAGCCACACCCATTGCTGACAGGTGTATAAAATGAAGCACACAGCCACGCAATCTCCATAGAGAAACATTTGCAGTAGAATGGACTTACTGAAGAGCTCAGTGGCTTTCAATGTGGCACCGTCATAGGATGCCACCTTTCCAACAAGTAAGTTTGTAAAAGTTCTGCCCTGCTAGAGCTGCCCCGGTCAACTGTAAGTGCTGTTATTGTGAAGTGGATATGTCTAGGAGCAACAACGGCTCAGCCGTGAAGAGTTGGGACACACAAGCCCACAGAATGGGACCGCAGAGTGCTGAAGCACGTAAAGGTTGTCTATCCTCAGTTGCAACACTCACTACCGAGTTCCAAACATCCTCTGGAAGCAAAGTCAGCACAAGAACTGTTCGTCGGGAGCTTCATGAAATGGGTTTCCATGGCCGAGCAGCCACACACAAGCATAAGATCACCATGCACAATGCCAAGCATCGGCTGGAGTGGTGTAAAGCTCACCGCCAATGGACTATGGAGCAGTGGAAACGCGTTCTCTGGAGTGATGAATCACTCTTCACTATCTGCCAGTCGACGAATCTGGGTTTGGTGGATGCCAGGAGAACGCAACCTGCCCGAATGCATAGTGCCAACTGTAAAGTTTGGTGGAGGGGGAATAATGGTCTGTGGCTGTTTTTCATGGTTCGGGCTAGGCCCCTTAGTTCCAGCAAAGGGAAATCTTAACACTACAGCATACAATGACATTCTAGACGATTCTGTGCTTCCAACTTTGTGGCAACAGTTTGGGGAAGGCCCTTTCCTGTTTCAGCATGACAATTCTCCCGTGCACAAAGCAAGGTCCATACAGAAATGGTTTGTTGAGATCGGTGTGGAAGAACTTGACTGGCCTGCACAGAGCCCTGAACTCAACCCCATCTAATACATTTTGGGATGAATTTGAATGCCGACTGCGAGTCAGGCCTAATCGCCAAACATCAGTGCCCGACCTCACTAATGCTCTTGTGGCTGAATGGAAGCAAGTCCCCGCAGCAATGTTCCAACATACAGTGCATTCGGAAAGTATCCAGACCTTTTTCCACATTTTGTTACGTTACAGCCTTATTCTAAAATGGATTAAATAAAACTTTTTCCTCATCAATCTACACACAATACCTCATAATGACAAAGCGAAAAGTTTTTAGAAATGTTTGTAAATGTATTAAAAATAAAAAACAGAAATGCCTTTTTTACATATAAGTCCTCAGACCCTTTGCTATGTTACTCGAAATTGAGCTCAGGTGCATCCTGTTTACATTGATCATCCTTGAGATGTTTCTAGAACTTGATTGGAGTCCACCTGTTGTAAATCCAATTGATTGGACATGATTTGGAAAGGCACACACCTGTCTATATAAGGCCCACAGTTCACAGTGCATGTCAGAGCAAAAACCAAGCCATGAGGTGGAATCCAGGGAATTGTCCGTAGAGCTTCAATGCTGCAGGTCTCCAAGAACACAGTGGCTCCCATAATTCTTAAATGGCAGAAGTTTGGAAGCACCAAGAGTCTTCCTAGACCTGGCCGCCTGGCCAAACTGAGCAATCGGGGGAGAAGGGCCTTGGACAGGGAGGTGACCAAGAACCCGATGGTCACTCTGACAGAGCTCCAGAGTTCCTCTGTGGAGATGGGAAAACCTTCCAGAAGGACAACCATCTCTGCAGCACTCCAACAATAAGGCCTTTATGGTAGAGTGGCCAGACAGAAGCCACTCCTCAGTAAAAGGCACATGACAGCCTGCTTGTAGTTTGCCAAAAGGCACCTAAAGGACTTTCAAACCATAAGAAACAAGATTCTCTGGTCTGATGAAACCAAGATTGAACTCTTTGGCCTGAATGCCAAGCGTCACGTCTGGAGGAAACCTGGCACCATCCCTACGTTGAAGCATGGTGGTGGCAGCATCATGCTGTGGGTATGTTTTTCAGCGGCAGGGACTGGAAGACTAGTCAGGATCGAGGGAAAACATGAACAGAGGAAAGTATAGAGAGATTCTTGATGAAAACCTGCTCCAGAGCACTCAGGACCTCAGACTAAGGCGAAGGTTCACCTTCCAACAGGACAACAACCCTAAGCACACAGCCAAGACAACGCAGGAGTGGCTTCGGGTCAAGTCTCTGAATGTCCTTGAGTGACCCAGCCAGAGCCCGGACTTGAACCCGATCAAATCTCTGGAGAGACCTGAAAATAGCTGTACAGCGACGCTCCCCATCCAACCTTACAGAGCTTGAGAGGATCTGCAGAGAAGAATGGGGAAAAACTCCCCAAATACAGGTGTGCCAAGCTTGTAGCGTCATTCCCAAGAAGACTCGAGGCTGTAATCGCTGCCAAAGGTGCTTCAACAAAGTACTGAGTAAAGGGTCTGAATACTTATGTTAATGTCATATTTCAGTTTTGTATTTTAAATAAACCTCTTTTTGCTTTGTGTGTAGATTGATGAGGAAAAAAAACAATTTAATCAATTTTAGAATAAGGCTGTAACGTAACAAAATGTGGAAAAAGTCAAGACTTCTACACAGTGCTCTGAGATTCTCTCTAATCTACATGAGACATGCTCAGATCAGATAAACCCTCAGCCATTTCCCCCTGGAGTTTTATTATTAGAGATGACACTGAGGTCATCTACCACAGTGGCCTAATTATGGGAGAGACGACATACAGTGTCTTCAGAAAGTATTCACAACCTTAGTTTTTCGACATTTTGTTGTATTACAAAGTGGGATTAAAATAGATTTGTCTTTTTTTTGTCAACGATCTACACAAAGCGGGAAAAAAAATCTAACTTATTTAATTTATGGAAAATAAAACACTCATATTTTGATTAGATAATTATTCAACCCCCTGAGTGAATACATGTTAGAATTACCTTTGGCAGCGATTACAGAATTGAGTCTTTCTGGGTAAGTCTCTAAGAGCTTTGCAAACCTGGATTGTACAATATTTACCCATTATTCTTTTAAAAATTCTTCAAGCTCTGTCAAGTTGGTTGTTGATCATTGCTAGACAGCCATTTTCAAATCTTGCCATACATTTTCAAGCCGATTTAAATAAAAACTGTAACTAGGCCACTCAGGAACATTCAATGTCATCTTGGTAAGTAACTCCAGTGTATATTTGGCCTTGCGTTTTAGGTTATTGTCCTGCTGAAAGGTGAATTTGTCTCCCAGTGTCTGTTGGAAAACAGACTAAACCAGATTTTCCTCTAGCACTTTCCCTGTGCTTAGCTCTATTCCTTTTCTTTTTCTCCTAAAAAACTCTAGTCCTTGCCGATGACAAGCATACCCATAACATGATGCAGCCACCACCATGCTTGAAAGTATGAAGAGTGGTACTCAGTGATGTGTTGGATTTGCCCCAAACATAATGCTTTGTATTCAGGACAAAAACGTAATTTCTTTGCCACATTTTTTGTAATATTACTTTAGTGCCTTATTGCAAACAGGATGCATGTTTAGGAATATGTCTTATTCTACAGGCTTCCTTTTTTCACTCTGTAATTTAGGTTAGTATTGTGGAGTAATTACAATGTTGTTGATCCATCCTCAGTTTTCTCCTATCACAGCCATTCAACTCTGCAACTGTTTTAAAGTCACCATTGGCCTCATGGTGAAATCCCTGAGCGGTTTCCTTCTTCTCCGTCAACTGAGTTAGGAAGTCCGCCTGTATCTTTGTAGTGACTGGGTGAATTGATACACCATCCAAAGTGTAATTAATAACTTCACCATGCTCAAAGGGTTAAGCAAATGTTTACTCCTTAAGTTATTTAGGCTTGCCATAAGAAAGGGGTAGAATTTGTAAAAATGTCTAAACATATTTCCACTTTGACATTATGGGGTATTGTGTGTAGATCAGTGACACAAAATCTAAATTGTATCCATTTTAAATTCAGGCTGTAACAACAAAATGTGGAAAAAGTCTAGGGGTGTGAATACTTTCTGAAGGCAGTGTAAACCCACAGACTCTGCTATCTGCAGCACTACTCTAGCTGCTTGTAAGCTACTGTGGGGAGTGTCTGTATTACCTGGGTCGTGGCTGTGATTGACAGGACGAAGGTGGGAACTGTGGAGCAGCTGAGGTTCAGAAGACGACCCTGAGGGAGACACAAACGTTTTATTTGCTACGTGGGAGTATATGTGTGTGTGTGTGTGTGTGTGTGTGTGTGTGTGTGTGTGTGTGTGTGTGTGTGTGTGTGTGTAACTTCCCACCTCGGCCAGCAGGATGACCCTCTTGCCATCAGGCCAGATGACATGGTCCACCTGAGAACGCACTCTCTCCCAGGTCAGCTCTGGGGTCCGCAGGCTCGCCTGGGGAGCAGGTCACACAGATCAGCAGACCAACACACTATGCACTCTCACGCACACTCTACTTAAAGTCTTAATATGCAGTACATTTGAAACCATCATCATGAACTTCATATTCCCTGGAAAGCCTCCCTTGATTTTTAAGTTTTACTGTAGCAACGAATTGTGTTGTGTCAAAGTTCCTCACCACGTCAATCTCAGTGTTGGAGTGTCCCATGTTGCACACGATGGAGCCATTCTTCATATGGTCAAGCTGGTCCCTGGTCACCACGTTCTTATTCCCTAGGAGACCACAGAAAAACACTGGTCTAAAACCTCCATCTACATACAGAGCTTAGCATCACAAACTCTCAGGGCGATTAGATGATACAAAGGGCCATGTATATATGTCAATGCATTTATTGATTGTGCCAGGCATGGACTGGATGCCCATAGATGAATGTAATTCCATATAAAAGCAGTCCCCTGTACAGAAAGTTGATTCCTTAAATACAGTAGTTTGATGTTGTTTACCAGTGCATGTGATGATGACGTCCACCTGGCGGATGACCTCGTTAAGCTTGACCACCCTGAAGCCGTCCATGCTGTTCAAACACATGGGGAGAGACGGGTTAGTAAGAACAGATGGGGGCAGACAGGTGCTATGCCTACAGTAGAGGTGGTTAGTAATGGTCTATGAGTGCCATTCAACTAATAAGGCTCTTTTGTTTTATTTAAAGGTTTAATTCATTTCCGTCTGGCTTCTATCGGGTTATCCTAATAATTAAAGCCAGTTCAGGTTTTCGATTTATATTTTGATGGAGAATTTCTGTTTCAAAGGTTTATCTTAGAGACAGAGAAACTCCTCTGCCCAGAAGGTTTTGTGGTCTTATTCATGGTGTCATTTCTCTGGGTCAGCAGTGTTTAACATTTGGCACTTTCTGCTTCCTACTTCCCATTTCCTGTCCCTCACCAGGCCTGCAGGGCGCAGATTGGATCAATCTCTGTGACGTAGACAATGGATCCCATGGCTTTCAGTGCGGCAGTGCAACCTTTCCCAACCTGCAGGGAGAGCACATCGCATTAGAATTACATAATATGATCACATCACATTGACCTCAATCAACAGAACAGGCCACAATGGACCCACTATAGAACTTATATACCGGTAAACCTTGACGTCCACATTAAACTCTATAGAGGCAGATTACTTTTGACTAAATACACAACAACTTAGCACGACATGGCATTGAACTCTTCAGTATATAGAGTACCAGTCAAAAGTTTGGACACACCTACAGTTGAAGTCGGAAGTTTACATACACTTAGGTTGGAGTCATTAAAACTCGTTTTTCAACCACTCCACACATTTCTTGTTAACAAACTATAGTTATGGCAAGTCGGTAAGGACATCTACTTTGTGCATGACACAAGTAATTTTTCCAACAAAACAGACAGATTATTTCAGTTATAATTCACTGTATCACAATTCCAGTGGGTCAGAAGTTTACATACACTAAGTTGACTGTGCCTTTAAACAGCTTGGAAAATTCCAGAAAATGTTGTCATGGCTTTAGAAGCTTCTGATAGGCTAATCATTTGAATCAATTGGAGGTCTACCTGTGGATGTATTTCAAGGCCTACCTTCAAACTCAGTGCATCTTTGCTTGACATCATGGGAAAATCCAAATAAATCAGCCAAGACCTCAGACAAAATATTGTAGATCTCCACAAGTCTGGTTCATCCTTGGGAGCAATTTCCAAACGCCTGAAGGTACCACGTTCATTTGTACAAACAATAGTACGCAAGTATAAACACCATGGGACCACGCAGCCGTCATACCGCTCAGGAAGGAGACGCGTTCTGTCTCCTAGAGATGAACGTACTTTGGTGCGAAAAGTGCAAATCAATCCCAGCACAACAGCAAAGGACTTTGTGAAGATACTGGAGGAAACAGGTACAAAAGTACCTATATCCACAGTAAAACGAGTCCTATATCGACATAACCTGAAAGGCTGCTCAGCAAGGAAGAAGCCTTAGCTCCAAAACCGCCATAAAAAAGCCAGACTAAGGTTTGCAACTGCACATGGGGACAAAGATCGTATTTTTGGAGAAATGTCCTCTGGTCTGATGAAACAAAAATAGAACTGTTTGGCCATAATGTTTGACCATCGTTATGTTTGGAGGAAAAGGGGGTACCTTGCAAGCCGAAGAACACCATCCCAACCGTGAAGCACGGGGGTGGTAGCATCATGCTGTGGGAGTGCTTTGCTGCAGGAGGGTCTGGTGCACTTCACAAAATAGATGGCATCATGAGGAAGGGAAATTATGTGGATATATTGAAGCAACATCTCAAGATATCAGTCAGGAAGTTGAAGCTTGGTCGTAAATGGGTATTCCAAATGGACAATGACCCCAAGCATACTTCCAAAGTTGTGGCAAAATGGCTTAAGGACAACAAAGTCAAGGTATTGGAGAGGCCATCACAAATCCCTGACCTCAATCCTATAGAACATTTGTGGGTAGAACTGAAAAAGCAGGTGCGAGCAAGGAGGCCTACAAACCTGACTCAGTTACACCAGCTCTGTCAGGAGGAATGGGCCAAAATTCACCCAACTTATTGTGGGAAGCTTGTGGAAGGCTACCCGAAATGTTTGACCCAAGTTAAACAATTTAAAGGCAATGCTACCAAATACTAATTGAGTGTATGTAAACTTCTGACCCACTGGGAATGTGATGAAAGAAATAAAAGCTGAAATAAATAATTCTCTCTACTATTATTCTGACATTTCAAATTCTTAAAATAAAGTGGTGACCCTAACTGAAATAAGACAGGGAATTTTGACTAGGATTAAAATGTCAGGAATTGTGAAAAAAAAGAAGTTTAAATGTATTTAGCTAAGGTGTATGTAAACTTCCGACTTCAATTGTAGTCATTCCAGGGTTTTTCTTTATTTTTACTATTTTCCACATATTTTATATTTTAGGTTCTTCAAAGTAGCCACCCTTTGCCTTGATGACAGCTTTACACACTCTTGGCATTCTCTCAACCAGCTTCATGAGGAATGCTTTTCCAACAGTCTTGAAGGAGTTCCCACATATGCTGAACATTTATTGGCTACTTTTCCTTCACTCTGCAGTCCAACTCATCCCAAACCATCTCAATTGGCTTGAGGTCGGGTGATTGTGAAGACCAGGTCATCTGATGCAGCACTCCATCACTCTCCTTCTTGGTCAAATAGCCCTTACACAACCTGGAGGTGTGTATTGTGTCATTGTCCTGTTGAAAAACAAATGATAGTCCCACTAAGCGCAAACCAGATGGGATGGCGTATCGCTGCAGAATGCTGTGGTAGCCATGCTGGTTAAGTGTGCCTTGAATTCTAAATAAATCACAGACAGTGTCACCAGTAAAGGACCCCCACACCATCACTCCTCCTCCTCCATGCTTCAAGGTGGGAACCACACATGCAGAGATCATCCGTTCACCTACTCTGCGTCTCACAAAGACATTGCGGTTGGAACCAAAAATCTCCAATTTGGACTCATCAGACCAAAGGACAGATTTCCACCGGTCTAATGTCCATTGCTCGTGTTTCTTGGCCCAAGCAAGTCTCTTCTTCTTATTGGTGTCCTTTAGTAGTGGTTTCTTTGCAGCAATTCGACCATGAAGGCCTGATTCACACAGTCTCCTCTGAACAGTTGATGTTGAGATGTGTCTGTTACTTGAACTCTGAGGCTGGTAACTCTAATGAACTTATCCTCTGCAGCAGTCGCAAATGTTCTTGAAATTTTCCGGATTGACTGACCTTAATGTCTTAAAGTAATGATGGACTGTTTCTCTTTGCTTATTTGAGCTGTTCTTGCCATAATATTGACTTGGTCTTTTACCAAATAGGGCTATCTTCTGTATACCCCCCTACCTTGTGGCAACACAACTGATTGGCTCAAACGCATTAAGAAGGAATGAAATTACACAAATTAACTTTTAACAAGGCACACCTGTTAATTGAAATACATTCCAGGTAACTACCTCATTAAGCTGGTTGAGAGAATGCCAAGAGTGTGCAAAGCTGTCATCAAGGCAAAGGGTGGCTATTTGAAGAACCTAAAATATATTTTGATTTGTTTAACACTTTTTTGGTTACTACATGATTCCATATGTGTTAGTTCATAGTTTTGATGTCTTCACTATTATTCTACAATGTAGAAAATAGTCAAAATAAAGAAAAATCCTGGAATGAAAAGGTGTGTCCAAACCTTTGACTGGTACTGTAGATGTACAAGTATGTCCTGTACAGGTGATTATCATTATACTGAGTGCACATATTCTCATTATAGCAGGTTTAGCGTAGGCAGCACAAACTCAGTCTATTCAAACATAACTACATGTACAATATGAAACCCCCTTACCTCTCCATAACCACAGACAACCACCTGCTTTCCTCCAAACATCACGTCTGTGGTCCTCTTCAGGCTGCAGACAGAAACATGGAGATAGAGACAGGGGAAACATTAAGATACAGAAAGTTGGCCTTTCTGTGGTATGTTGAAACTCCAGGGAGAGTGAAGTAGGCAGTAGCAGTCTATAAAAGCAATTTCCCAGGCCACTGGACCACACAGGCCATGTTGTTAGCCTGATTTATTGGCCTTGTCTATTATATACAGTACCAGTCAAATGTTTGGACACACCTACTCAAGGGTTTATTTTAATTTTTACATTGTAGAATAATAGTGAAGACATAAAAACTATTAAATAACACATATGGAATCATGTAGTAACCAAAAAAGTGCTAAACAAATCAAAATATATTTTATATTTGAGATTCGCCACCCTTTGCCTTGATGACAGCTTTGCACACTCTTGGCATTCTCTCAACCAGCTTCATGAGGTAGTCACCTGGAATGCATTTCAATTAACAGGTGTGCCTTCTTAAAAGTTAATTTGTGGAATATCTTTCCTTCTTAATGTGTTTGAGCCAATCAGTTTTGTTGTGACAAGGTGGGGGGGGGTGTACAGAAGATAGCCCTATTTGGTAAAAGACCAAGTCCATATTATGGCAAGAACAGCTCAAATAAGCAAAGAGAAACAACAGTCCATCATTACTTTAAGACATGAAGGTCAGTCAATATGGAACATTTCAAGAACTTTTAAAGTTTCTTCAAGTGCAGTTGCAAAAACCATCAAGCGCTATGATGAAACTGGCTCTCATGAGGACCGCCATAGGAATGGAAGACCCAAAGTTACCTCTGCTACAGAGGATAAGTTAATTAGCGTTACCAGCCTCAGAAATTGCAGCCCAAATAAATGCTTCACAGAGTTCAAGTAACAGACACAGCTCAACATCAACTGTTCAGAGGAGACTGCGTGAATCAGGCCTTCATGGTCGAATTGCTGCAAAGAAACCACTACTAAAGGACACCAATAAGAAGAGACTTGCTTGGGCCAAGAAACACGAGCAATGGACCGGTGGAAGTTTGTCCTTTGGTCTGGGGTCCAAATTTGAGATTTTCCGTTCCAACCGCCGTGGCTTTGTGAGACGCGGTGTGGGTGAACGGATGATCTCTGCATGTGTATTTCCTACCGTAAAGCATGGAGGAGGAGGTGTTATGGTGTGGGGGTGCTTTGATTTCTATCTGTGATTTATTTAGAATTCAAGGCACACTTAACCAGAATGGCTACCACAGCATTCTGCAGCGATACGCTATCCCATCTGGTTTGGGCTTAGTGGGACTATCATTTGTTTTCAACAGGACAATGACCCAACACACCTCCAGGCTGTGTAAGGGCTATTTGACCAAGAAGGAGAGTGATGGAGTGCTTTATCAGATGACCTGGCATCCACAATCCCCCGACCTCAACCCAATTGATATGGTTTGGGATGAGTCGGACGGCAGAGCGAAGGAAAAGCAGCCAACAAGTGCTCAGCATATGTGGGAACTCCTTCAAGACTGTTGGAAAAGTATTCCAGGTGAAGCTGGTTGAGAGAATGCCAAGAGTGTGCAAAGCTGTCATCAAGGCAAAGGGTGACTATTTGAAGAATTTGTTTAACACTTTTTTGGTTCCTACATGATTCCATATGTGTTATTTCATAGTTTTGATGTCTTCACTATTATTCTACAATGTAGAAAATAGTAAAGATAAAGAATAAATCCTTGAATAAGTAGGTGTGTCCAAACCTTTGACTGGTACTGTATATATGTAATTACTGTTATTTTTTTGTATTTACAGTATTTGATCAACAAAAAAATCTAATAGATACATAGTTATGTAGTACAAAGAGCACTGAGGCGTCGTAGTGAGAGAACATTCACTTGTATGCTTAAAGGTACATTTAACATTTACCCATCCAGGATAGACTCTCTGCAGCAGTAGAGGTTGTCAAACTTCTGCTTTGTCACAGAGTCATTTACATTCATGGCTGGCACACACAGCTTGCCTGCTTTGGACAGCTGGTACAACCTTTAAGGCAAAGAGAAAGTAACTAAGTAACTAAGCTCAGAGTTACCTGTTGGTCTTATGAATGTGTGTGTTTGTGAATGTACTGTAATCAGAAATAAAATCACCTGTGTACCCCAGTCACACTCTCCTCCACAATGCCCCTGATCTTCTTGAAGACGTTGGGGTATTTCTTATACAACCAGTGGGTCAAGTCCCCTCCGTCATCAAGAATCTACCACAGACACAGCAAGAGACAACATTCTCAACAAACAGTGACAACATGCACACATATATCAGTAACACAAAATGGTCAACAAGGACATTTGCCTTGCTGTTAAAGGAGGGTAATTGACAAGAGTTCTATGGGTACCATGTTAGGCTGCCAGCCCTCCATGTTGATGCACTTGTCGATACACCACCAAAAGTCATCCTCCGATTCACCCTTCCAAGCAAAAACAGCCACACCTGCACAAATTACAAGGTAGTTGGGAGAATAAAAGGGTTTAGAAATGTTAATATTTCTCCAGATCAGACATATATTGCAACAAATATAAAATCTAAGGCCCTTTTTAAACAACAGCACATGGTCCTCAGCAATTAATATAAGCTAAGACCCTTAATTCTAGAGAGCAGAACCGATCACGTTTGAACACACGGTGCTTGATGTCCATATAATCTGCTGTAAAGTCATTCATATAATGACCTGCAGCTTAACTCCAGACATCTGGACCTGCACAACAGTCCAACCACAACACCACAGAGCCTAGAACAGCCCCTGCCTCTGTAGGCTCCTCCAGATAGTACACTTACATAACCCTGCTCACTAAACACTAGGGCCGGGCTTGGTATCATGGCAAGGAAATAAAACACAAAGCGGATTCAATTTCTTTAAGAAAACAGCCCTAATTTTAGAAACATTAGTCACATGTATTTATTTTCCAAGCTATAGCACACAATATTTTACATACAGCAGGTTTTTAACGATCAAAGAGCTTGGTCTGCTTCGTGTTTTCATAATAATAATAATAATATGCCATTTAGCAGACGCTTTTATCCAAAGCGACTTACAGTCATGCGTGCATACATTTTTTTGTGTATGGGTGGTCCCGGGGATCGAACCCATTACCTTGGCGTTACAAGCGCCGTGCTCTACCAGCTGAGCTACAGAGGACCACCTTCATTTTTGCCATGGAAAAAATATTGCAATACTGGTATTGTCCCGGCCCTACTAAACACTTCAGCTCGCTACCATTAAAGCCCACTTCACACCCTCATAATCACTCAGGAAATGGGTGTCAATAGCAGCCATAACTACCAGTATTGACATCAGTATTGAACAGTCATGTAGGATTTAAGCTACACTAGCTTATCACGGTTAGCTTCACAGTAGGCCTATTCGCCTATACTGGTATGTATGTCACTATACTGCTATTTGTGTCATGACCAATTGTTGTGAACTGACCTAACCTGTGACTACTTAACATCGTTTCTGCCATGCTTGAGTAATTGGAGATGGGAGTGCTGATAGCTACTTTACTGAGGAAAAATGTACTTACTATGACTGTGATATGTGGTTGTCACAGCTAGCCATCTTAAGATGAATGCACTAACTGTAAGTCTCTCTGGATAAGTGTGTCTGCTAAATGACTATAATGTAAATGTTGACTTGTGTCAAAAACGCAGAACATCTTTTTATAAACAGACATACCCCTCCCTATCTTCACAACAAACTTTGTCAATATGACTTGACCATGATAATTGACCATCCAATGTTATACTTCGGAGTTTAGCTTCCTCAACCTGCTCAATTGTCATAACTTTTATGCACAACTCCAGTTGAGGTTTAGGCCTTAGAGAATGTTTTGATCCAAATACAATGCTTTTAGCTTTAGATGTATTTAAGACCAGTTTATTATGAATCACCCATTCTGATACTGACTAACTCCTTATTTAGAATTTTAGTGAGCTCACTGGCTTTGGGTGCTGACATGTAGAGTGTAGAATCAGCAGCATACCGTCATTTTAGCTTTATGTAAGACCAGTGGCAAATCTTTTGTAAAAAGAAGAGAAGCGTAACGGCCCAAGGCAACTGCCCTGAGGGACACACTCTGGGTTCTATTGGATAAGCAACTCTCCACCATGTGATGGCAGGTGATGTAAAGCCATAGCAAGTGAGTTTCTTCAATAACAATTTATGATCAATAACGTCAAAGGCTGCACTGAAATCTAACAATACAGCTCCAACTATCAACTTATTATTCATTTCTTTTAACCAATCATCTGTCATCTGAGTCAGTGCAGTACAAGTTGAGTGCCCTTCTCTATATGCATGCTGAAAGTCAGTAGTTAACTTGTTCTCTGAAAAATAGCATTGTATTTGGTCAAACAGGCAGCAAACTGATTGGGTAGCTGTTAGAGCCAGCAATGGGTGCTTAACTATTTTTACGCAGTGGAATTACTTTAGCTTCCTTCCACGCCTGTGGACACACATTATTTTAGGCTTTGGTTAAAGATATAGCAAATAGGGGTGGCAATACAGTCTGCTACCATTCTCAATAGTTTCCCATCAAGGTTGTCTATACCTGGTGGCTTATCATTATTGATGGATAGCAATAGTTCTTCCACCACACTAACTTGACCAAATTCTCTTTAATTATTAGTTATTTTATACAAATCATATGATGGTTCACTGTTCAATGTTATCATTTCACTTCAGAGTTTTCCCACTTTACTACTGAAATAGTCAGTATTGAAAGGTTTTGTTGTTATAAATGACTCATCAACTTCAATGAACGATGGAAATGAATTGGTTTTTCTGCCCATTATATAATTTAAGGTACTCCAAATATTTTTCCATTGTGTTTTATGTAATTGATCTTGGTTTGGTAATAAAAACGTATTTTTGTTAAGTGTAGTAAAAAAATATCTAAATGTACAGTATGTCAACCAATCAGCTAAGCAGCCTGAATTGTTTGCCACCTCTTTTGCATCATTTCTTTGAACCCTACAATTGTTCAATTCATCATCAATCCAGAGAGCTCTAAAAGTTCTCACAGTTAATTTCTTAAAAGGTGCATGCTTCTCAACAATTGGCATGAATAATTTTACAAATACTTCCAGTGCTGCATCTGGATTCATTTCCTCATACACAGGCCAACATAAATGTTTTACATCTTCAACAAAAGAGTCCTGAGCATTTTTTTCCTATGATCTCTTATAAATTACTTTAGGCCCAAACTTTGGAACTTTGGTTTTCCTTGTTATTGCCACAATGCTTTTATCACTACAGCCAATGGTAACGCATATTGCTTTGGAGTAAAGCTCTGCACCATTAGTTAAGATATGATCAATACAAGTGGATGCCACAGATCCAACACTATTGGTATGCACTCTAGTTGGTTGAGTGATAACCTGGGTCATATTACAGGCATTAGTCACAGTTATAAGCTTCCTCTTGAAAGGACAGCTAGTTGCTAAGCAGTCAATGTTTAGGTCACCCAGAAAATAGACCTCTTAACATCACATACACTATCAAGCATTGTGTACGCATTATCCAAATACTGACTTTTAGCACTTGGTGGTAGGGATTAATATTTTCCCGAAAATATAATTCATATGTATCCTGAGAGTAACGGGAAATAATGCAAAAATCGGAAGTGCCAATTTAAAGCGTTTTAAACCAAGATATGATCACTATGCCAGGGTTCTCGCCAAATAAGAGGGGCGCTGCACCAACTTATCGGCTGCGCCACTATGTAATGATTTCAGAGCAAATTAAACTTATAATTAGGGCTCTATTCAATCTGCATCGCGGAAGTTCAGCTTTACAGCGTGATTGAAATTTAAAGGCAATGTTCCCTCTTTAGCGAAGACTGCATTCACAGTAAATGCTGCATGTCAGCGCAATCTGAAATTACTGTTACATTTCTATCGCGGAATCTGTAACGCTCCAGCTTTATAGATTGAATAGAGCCCTCTGTAATGATAGAGTAACTTTTTTTGATCGCCAATGACATTGTTGTGAATGGCGAAACAGGCCGTTCATAAATTCACAGTGCTGTCATGTTCCTCAATTAATTCAGCGCATTTCAGCAGTTGGCTATCTCGACACAGAGCCCGCCCAGGACGCACCCCGAGTATAGCGTTGTCGAATCATACAAACTTTGTAACGGCAGTCAAACAAAAGTAAAATGACCAAAGTTGCTAAGCTTGCTAAATAACCTCCAATGAATGTCAGAATGTATCCTATATTTGGCAAAAACTAGTTGATGATTATACAGATAGCAGATCAGCTCATGAATAATGGGGAGATGAAGAGTGGAAATATATTAAATATCAAGGTATCTTAATGGGGACCAACTCTGTTTTAAAAATATTGTTTGTTGATCACACATTCTCTACTGAAGCTCTCATATGGGCAGCAAGTATGAGACAGCGCAGAGAAGCGGGGGAAATGTTATTTTTATTTATTTAACCTTTATTTAACCAGGTAAGCCAGTTGAGAACACGTTCTCATTTACAACTGCGACCTGGCCAAGATAAAGCAAAGCAGTGCGATAAAAACAACAACACAGAGTTACATATGGGGTAAACAAAACATTAAGTCAAAAATACAACGGAAAATATATATACAGTGTGTGCGAATGTAGTAAATTATGTAGGTAAGGCAATAAATAGGCCATAGTGCAAAATAGTTACAATTTCGTATTAACACTGGAATGATAGATGTGCAAAAGATGATGTGCAAATACAGATACTGGGGTGATCGGTAAGCTACTCTGACAACTGACGCCTAAAGTTAGTGAGGGAGATAATAGTCTCCAGCTTCAGAGATTTTTGCAGTTCGTTCCAGTCATTGGCAGCAGAGAACTGGAAGGAATGTCGGCCAAAGGATGTGTTGGCTTTGGGGATGACCAGTGAGATATACCTGCTGGAGCGCAGACTACGGGTGGGTGTTGCTATGGTGACCAGTGAGCTAAGATAAGACGGGGATTTGCCTAGCAGTGATTTATAGATGACCTGGAGCCAGTGGGTTTGGCGACGAATATGTAGTGAGGGCCAGCCAACAAGAGTGTACAGGTCACAATGGTGGGTAGTATATGGGGCTTTGGTGACAAAACGGATGGCACTGTGATAGACTACATCCAATTTGCTGAGTAGAGTGTTGGAGGCTATTTTGTAAATGACATCGCCGAAGTCAAGGATCGGTAGGATAGTCGGTTTTACGAGGGCATGTTTGGCAGCATGAGTGAAGGAGGCTTTGTTGCGAAATAGGAAGCCGATTCTAGATCTAACTTTTGATTGGAGATGCTTAATGTGAGTCTGGAAGGAGAGTTTACAGTCTAACCAGACACCTAGGTATTTGTAGTTGTCCACATACTCTACGTCAGACCCGCCGAGAGTAGTGATTCTAGTCGGGTGGGCGGGTGCAAGCAGCGTTCGGTTGAATAGCATGCATTTAGT